CTGCTCCAGTAGGACAAGCCTTCCGCCTGCGCCCCTTCCATGTTCTGGTGGCTACAGGTGGGGGATATGCAGGATACAAAAAGTATGAGGGCTACAAGTTGGAACAGCTGGAGAAGAAGGGCATAGAGTTGCCTGTGAAGCTTGCAAGTGAATGGGAGGTAAGAAACTTGTGGCAATTTTGCTTCTGCTGTTTCAGACAAAGCCCCTCTGCTTTCTTTCCAGCGAGGGAATGTGCAGTTCATTCTCTGTAGCTGATGCATTTTTGACAAACTGTTTCTGTCTTTTAAGTAACTTGTACTCTTGAGAGAGAACATAAGGTGTGCATCTGCAGCAGCTCTGAAGGATCTGTTCGCTCTGTTTAGTGCAGTGCAATTTCTTTCTTTCCCCACCTTGAATTGCACGGTGACAAATAAAGCACATGACATAATTTACAGAATTAAATAGAGAAATCAAACTAGGCAAGACTGAAATGACGTGTCATAGGATTAAAAAAACATTTAGTGCTGATTTGGTCCCAGTAGTCCTAGCTGAAGGTACAGCATGTGCAGCATCTGTAGGGTTTTTATGTTCTCACTGGCTGCTCAGTCTGCTACTTTTGACATTTTTCTGTCTTTTTTCATTCTTCCCAGTGCCTTCATGCCTTATCTACTTTACAAGAATGCTAAGACAGAATTAATATATAGTAATTATAAATCTATGTTTTCTTTATATATTACATACCCTTATGTATACATTACATGTATATCTGGAAAGCTTTTTCTTTCTTAGAATGCACCTACATCTATAATGGAACTTGCTGACCCTGAGGGTTTTTTGCCTTTTTTTCTGGATTCCAAGGAGATTAGAAATTGTTGTGAAATGGTAGTTGGTATATCAGATTTGTGGATCAAATTCCTATTGCAGCATTGAAGTAAGAAGTATTTCTTAACTGGACATGACTGCTGTATTTCCTTCAAACTCTTAAGGATATATAGTACAGCTCAGTGAAAGAGTTGAAAGTATATGTGGTATTCTTCCAAACAGCCAGGTAAGTGCTTCAGTACTGTTTCAGAAGGCAAGGAGTTAAAAATTCTAGGATTGTAGGATTGTGTAGGAGATGCTTCAGTGTGACCTTTAGCATCTCTTTTCTTTGCATTCCTGAGCACACTGCCAGTTTGTGAGTGATCTTGGCCACGTGCCTTTAGGGGACAAGGCTGGAATGCTTAAATTCGTTTTCACTGGTGATCCAAATGAGCTATGACCCAGAAAGGCTGGATGCTGGCAGCTTAGGCTATGATAGCACCTGAGGAATTTGTCTGTAAATCTGTCTTCTGTATATTCTTTTCCTGCTGAAGTTTATTTCAAACAGATTTTATGTTTTGATTAAAAGAGAGACTGGTAAGTGTCTGTGAAGTATTTATTACAAAAGGCACCATCAATTCAGTTTTGGTTCTTGGAAACAAATGCTGTTTTAATAATGTTCATATTTCTAGATATGTCAATGAGTAATTCCCTTATTAAATTTGCTTTCTTTCATTATACTAGTATGCTGAGTGTTATTATTGGTGGTTATTTGGTGAAGTTATAGATATCGCTTTTGATGAAAAAGCTCTGAAGAAATCACACTGAGAAGTTGTCCTGGTCCTTCCTGATACACTTGAGTTCTGTTGGATGCTTCTGTGGGAGGGAAAGAAAGCCTGAGAGAAGAGGAAACAGAAAAACTGTATTCAAACATTGAAAGAAATATTCTAAACAATGAAGAATTCAAGAAAAATAAGAGCTGCATTGTTGCCTTTTTATTAGAAAGCGGAGGGTCTTTTTTAGCTGAGCTCTCACTTTCCATTATTCTCTCTCTGTTTTTGCATCCCTGGAAGCACACTTAGGATTGAGGAAAAGAGAGGTATTGTTTTTAGAACAGGACTATAAACCTTTGCATGAATAAGAAGAGCCTCAGTGCGATTTAATGGGCTTTGAAAGTGATACAGAGAAGCTGCTGCACACGGCCTCAGTGCTGAGCCTGCTGCTGCAACACCCGGCTCCGATGTACCAGCATCGTGCTCATGTGCACACATACACACCTGGCACCCTGTGTGTAAGGCAGGTTCCTTTTCTTCTGATCAGAAGTCAGAAATGCAGTATTCCCATGTTATGCAAGCAGAGATCTCCATGTTGCAGAGGTACATATTGGGTATCATTACTGTTTCTTTAGCACACCTGTCATTTTCTTAGAGATATCACATCGCTAATAGCTTGAGCTGAATAACACCTCAGTGTGTCTTGTAATGTGAATACCAGCAAGGATCAGCTCTCATATACTGAGGTGGGGTAAAGCAGGGGGCTTGGAGGGAGACAGGTAGATACATTCATCAGATAGATAGAAGCTTATAGCTTCAAATCCTTGTTGTCACCGAGTATTTCTTGGCCAGGATCTCCATGCATATCTTGACATACATAAGGCATTGTGCAGCTTCTCACCAAGGTGCTGTAGGATGGCTGAATTACTCAGTGAGACCTGGGCTAGAGTGTGACCAGGTTGACTGGAACTTCTTTCTGGTAGGAGGAATTTCTTGTACCTGTCCTGTGCTTCTATAGTTTGTTCTGATGTAATGAAGTGACTTATGGTTTTGTGTAAGGATCTCCTGTTGGAATGACAGCACCAGCAAAAACAGCAAGCCTGCAGGGGAACTGAGCTGTGGTGACAATTCACATGTCAGTAACAGTCTTTTAAAATGGCTTAATGAAGTGGGGAAATGCTTGAGTACAGATTGAAGGTCTTGATTCTCAAAGGGAGGAAGAACACAGCCTTCCTATTGATATTAGAAACTGTGCCAGGAGGTGTTTGTGTAACAGGAGATACACAGTGATATTTTGGCAGTCTGAAACAGAAAGTGCTTTTCTTGGCTCATAGCTGAGAGATGTGTTACGGTAAGAGCTGTGTAACAAGTTCAGGAAAGAGCTAATGGCGAAAAATATACATTGGTGTGTATATATATATATATTTAACCCAACCTGCTTTGCTTTGGAAGAATGAAGCACAGTCTATGGCTGCTGGATCTCTCATTCCTCATTCGCGTTGCTGTGTTCCAGCACAGCTCCCCGGGCTGCGGTGCCGGACGGGTTCACACTGCGGGGCGCTTCCCTGCGTGCCGCACCCGGAGCCCCGCAGAAGGGATGAACCCACGAGTCCCCCATCCCGGAGGCGGCGCCGTGGCCACGTTCCGGTCCCCCGGCTCCTCCCCGCGGGGCAGGGCCGCCCCTGGCCGCTTCCTTAAGGCGCGGAGCCGCGTCCCGTGCCCGCAGGGAGCCGGGCGGCAGCCGTGAGCACCGCCGTGCTGCGCCGCGTCCGCCCGTCGGGCTGCGCCGCCGGTATCAGGTAGGGCTGCGGGGCGCAGAGGGCGGTCCGGCGTTGGGCTCCGTCTTTCTGGAAGCTTCAGCGGCGGCGGTGCGAGGACCCGGTTCGTTCGGGATTTACCTCGGGTGGGTTCGGGTTCGGGCGGAACTGCGGGGATGGGCGTTATTGGGTGGGTCCGGCTGCTTTGGTTGCCGCAAGTTGACGCGTCGTTTTGCGAAAGTAAATGCAACTTCTTGTCCTGTGTCGGAGGAGAGAGTTTTGAGACTATGGAACATTTTGGGGGGTGGAAGGGAAGGGAGGGGTTTCTACAGGCTTACGTTTTAAAAAGTTAAACAAAACCCCCGTACCCCTGCGGCTGGCTTAAAATACCGCTCCTCCCCGCAAGCAAAACTAACAAACACAACCGAGAGGAAGGTTTCGGTGTGAAAGAGCTCGAGGAGCCGCAGGCGGGCACAGCAGCCCCGCAGCCCCGGGGCCGCCCGGCCCTTCCTGGCAGCCACGTGCCGCCGGTGCTGCTGGTTCGTAGCTGGGAGGAGCTCCGCAATGAAACGTGTGGATGCGGACGGGGCGTTTTTTAAACGGGAGTTCTGCTACCAAACGTAGAAAGTGAGAGCGGAGGCCGCGAGCTTTCCGAGGAGCGCGTTCCAAGGCCAGTGATTCATGGGTTCGAACTGAGACGTGGGTCTGAAGGACGGTTACACGTTGGTAAGGCTCCAGGCAGCAGTGAAAGGACGTTTCAGTGGGGCCGCTGGTTGGGAGGCTCATTTGAGCTGATAGAAGCCGGCAGATAACAGTTTGCTGTTGTCGTCCAAAAAGCGGATTCGTCCCCGTGTGCATGGAATCGATCATCACAGGCTTGGGGCAGGCGCTGCTTATTTGTGGCAGGGTTGCACCAGCCTGGCTGCACGGTGCTTTCCCACAAATGGGTCACACGAACAGAGCCATCCTCCTGCAAGCACTTACACACAATTACAGTTAGCAGTGTTCCACTCCAATTGGTCTGTAGTTTTCATGCAATTACAACAGTGCTGATGCTGCTTCCATTACTATGCCTGATCACAGGAGGGGTCTTCGCCCAGGCAGGGCTCTTCTTGACCTGTGGGTGTGAATCTTAGCATTACATTGAAGGTAGTTCAGCCAAGGATACACAAACCTGGGGTTTTCTTCCCAAGTTGTGTCACCAACTGTCCTCATTAATGTTCACCCTAAGGCATTCTGGCTCTGGGGAGTCCCTGGTTAAGTATTTATTCTACTGATACCTAATACAATGCTAGCTCAGTTTGATTAGAATTAGCCTTCAGCACTGTTAGATAATACTTCTCTAGGGATTTATACTACTTCTTTTATTTACTTAAATTGGATTCTGGATGGGATCAGACAAGCAGGAGGGTTTGGTACAGATCTCTACACTCCTACAAACCAACAGTAGTAAGATTCTTGTCTGAGCTAACAGTGTGGGGCTGGTGGCACTGCCTGGATCCCAACAAGAACAGCCATTTGGAAATTTCCTCAGTGGGTTCCTCCATCAGTTCTTGTTCCTTTCCCTGTGGAATCATGGAATGCTTTGAGTTGAAAGGGACAGAATGGCCAGGGTTGGAAGGGACCTCAAGGATCATGAATCTCCAACCCCCCTGCCACATGCAGGGCCACCAACCTCCTCATTTAATGCTAGACCAGGCTGCCCAGGGCCCCATCCAACCTGGCCTTGAACACCTCCCTGGGGCATCCACAACCTCAAACAATGGAGGGAAACCCAGGGTGGATTTTTGGTTTTAGCTGTGAATTGCTTGTGGGGCAGCTGGAGGAATGGCAGCTTGCCATGTATGACAGCACTTAAGCAGACTCAGGTATTTGCATCTTGGTGAATGTAATGAGGTCAGTAGAACAGAACTTAAGAAAAACACAGGTTGTTATGCTCATCTGAACTGATTCTTTTGACTTAGTGGAGGAAAAAGGCTCATAATGCCAATAATTGGCTGTTCCTGGAGAGGAATCTCTCTCAGACCACACTTTAAAAAAATTTAAACTGAAGGGTGTGATATTCCCTGTTGCATTGGGCAGCTGAACATTTCAGCATCCATTCATTTTCAGGGAGCAGATGAGCTTGCTCCATTGCAGGAGCATTGTGCTCGGGCTTGCACAGTCTGGAATACAATTCCTTGAAAACATCTGGGATATGAAACTGAGCTTCTGTTGAAAGAGCTCATGTCTGGACCTCCCTAATCCCTGAGGAGCTACATGTAGGTAGAGAGGCTGCTGAGAAGTGGAGGGAGGGTGCCAGCCTGGCCTGGGGCAGCCACGAATGTGCTTGCTGCAAATAAACTGCTTGACAGTGTTATGGAGATGCATGCTCAGTACCAGAGTGGTTTTCATTTACTCTGAAGTGCCTTTGGAAATGGTGTTGTCAATTTCACATTTTTTGATTTAAAATCCTTTTTTTTTTTTTTTAAATGTTGGCAAGTTAGCAGAAATAACTCTCCTGTGCTCCTTGTTCCTTTTCTTTGAATTTTGGTTGGATTTGGGGTACTTTTTTTTCTTTTTTTGTGCAGTTAACATTCAGCTTGTACAACAATAAGCACAGGGTTTGGAACTTCCTGTGACACAGGATATCATGTCACCATTTTCTTCTTGAAAAAAATTGTCATCATGCAGGCACTCCAGGGGTGTTTCTAAGGAATATCCGAAATATTTGGAGTCGAGGGCCAATAATAATACATGATTCTTTTTGGAATATTTTCCTTTTGAGGCCATAGCAGGAAGTCTTCAGCTAGTTCTAGATTTTCATGTTGGCCCTCCCCCTTCTCCTGGCTTATCTCAAATGAAATGCAGCCCTTTCCCTTACCTCAGCACCAGTGCTCTTTTTATCTAATCTACAAGACACACAGCTTTCATGAGATATATATTTAACCTAGACTATCACAGAAAAAGTAAGAGAAATGCATAATCACTGTACTGTTAGTGCCTAAACTATTCTGGGTACTTGGTTTAATTCTGAGGTGAGACGTATCTAGCGTGCTTCCCCTTTCAGTTTCAATCTGCCTAACAACCCAAATTGAGACAACATGGGAGGCAGGAAATCTTTGAGGGTTTGAGATGTGGTCTGCAGGACCAGAGAGGGAAACTTCTCTATTTGCTCATAATTCAGAGATAGAAATATTGCAGCCTTTTGTCACCAAAATAAACCAAAAAGCATTACTAACAGTCAGCCAAGAAAAAAACAACTTCCTTTACCCATGTTTTGCATTTCAGTTCTGCTGGACATAAACTTGTAGCAGTGTTGAGAGCCACATAAAAGATACATTAACACCTTTTATAATTCATTCACAGGCTGGCCCTAAAGCTGGCTTATTTCAGTAAGTATTTGGGAATTTGTAGAAGTGTCCTTTACCTGCTGCCTGGGCATCTTCTGAGATAGAAAGGGATTCCAGGGGATGGATGTTGGCATCTGGCAAGAGTTTGTGAAAGGGAAAGGTCTTCCTTTCCTCTCCTTCTTCTCAAGATGGTCTTTAGGAACAGGGAGGGATTTTTGGTGCCAGGTAGTCCAGAACTGCGTTAGCTGCAGCTGCTGCACTGCAGAATTGAAGCTGGGAATTATCTCCTCCTCTTCTCCGCCCCACTCCTCCTCCCAGCCTCATATTCAGGCCGCTGCTGAGGCTAGCAGCACAAGGCTGGTGGGCTGCTCTGACGGAGCCTCGGCGCCCAGCAGCCTGGGACTGCAGCGTGTTCCTTGGAGATCTGAGCTTCCATGGCGGCCAGGACGAGGGAGAAGCAAGGACTGCTTCTATGGAGAGCTCGTTTTTATCTTGTGCAGAGTCATCTTTGTAGCGGGATGTTGAAATGTGACACGGTGCCTGTTTGTTTGCAATAGCTGCAACCCTCGTAGCAGAAATTCAAGTGGGAAACAGAGGGGGAATCCAGAGACAAACCAGCAGGAGAATTAGAAACCGTGACGTCGCCTCCTCCCTCCTGTGCCGGAGCAAGCAAAGAAAGGAGAGGTAGAGGAAAAAAGACTGAGCCTTGCATCCAGCCGTCACCCTGACAATGTGTCAGTCAAACGCCCTGCAGGGACCAGATCTGCACACAGGGAAATGGTGAGATGCTGTAAAGCTTTATCTAACCCTCCACCCTCTTGCTACAACCTCCACAAAGTTAAAATTCATGTCCGGAGGCTGCGTTCAGGGAACGGCGGCAGCAGCAGCTGTGCCGGGGACCCGCACCCACAGCTGGACAGCCCGGGCCCGGCTGGCTCTGCTGGCGGGACACCAAATAGGAGAGCTCGTTTCAGGTACTGTGTGGTGTTTTCTGCTTTGCAAGAATGGTGTCTGAAGGGAGAAACGAGGGAGGGAGGATGGGAGGGTTTCTGGGCAGGAGGAGCGACAGCCATCTGCAAAGCTTTTGTTTGGCCTAATTACTATAAAGCTCCTTATGCGTTGAATTGTCAGAGAAGGGCATGCTGTTATATGACAAGGGGAATGAAGAGGGTTTCTTTCTCCCGTTTTCCATCACGAGGAGAAGAGGAAGATTAGCCAGGGACTGCTCTGAAACCAGGCCAAGCAGAGGGGAGCCCCAGGGCTCCGGAGTGCGCTGCCAGGATGCAGCTCGGATGGGATTGGTCCGCCAGCAACTGCAGTGATGGGGGGAGCGCGGCAGGGGAGTGGGACCCCAGGGAGCAGGACCCTGGCATGATGCTGAGAGCCTGGCACCCATCCTTCTGGCCTCAAGCAGACTGCAGGCTGGCAGGTGATGAGTGGGAGGAAGGACATGGAGTGCCCCCTCCTATTCCCATGTTGAGTCAGTCCCACCTCCCGCTGAGAAAGCAGCTTTATGCCTGCTGAGACAGCACTTCATCTCCTTAGGTGTTGGCTGCTATCTTGTTTTCCTTGCTTTGTGATGCACAAATAATTCTCTGAGTTTTTATGTGTTTATTTTTTTGGGAGGAAAGTTGTATTCGCTGCAGAGAGGATCAGTGAGCCAAAAGCACCATCTTGCATCCCAAAGTGGTGACAGATGTCACCTGGCTATGTGATATTTTAATTCTGACCCACATTTTGAAAATAACAGGTTGGCAGGAAAATTTTCTTTTTAGATTCCCAGCTTCTTTCCACCCTGAAAAGAAATAGTTCATACTTCATATCATATAGTCGGGTGTAAAGGAGATGTGTTCAGAGCAGCCAGAGCGTACCCTTCCAGTCTATGCACACGTAGCTGCATCCTGGTTGCAGGCATTCTGACTGCAGCAGAGTGGAAAGTACACTCCTGGCTAGGGTTTAAGGCAGTGCCCAGAAGAGTTGAATATTTTGCCCTCAGGTAGGCAGACTTCCATTTGATAACGTGACCTGGGCAGTGTCAGAAATGGCTTAGTCAAAATCTTCTTCATGAGCAAAGCCAAAGAATAAATGGGGACCCAAGGGGTCTTTCATCCTCCTACCACAAGGGTTTGAATTGAGGTACACAGTGCCCTCTGCTAGTTAGAGGAGCAGCTTTTCCCTTGGAGAGTTGCACGTTCAAATTCTGCCAACAGCCATATATGCTGAGGTTGCTTTCAGTCAGAAAATCCACTTTATGAAAAGTCATCAGTGCAGTCGGTTATGAGGCAAAGGAGTGATTAAGCTATAGAGACTGGGTTATCAGTCAGTATCAGCTTTGTTCCACGTGTTCTCTGTTCAGCACCAAGGGTACCCAGTTAATATTTAAGACCTGGAAAGATGTCTTCTGAAGTCAGTTATTTGAGCATTGTATTTACTAACTCAGCAGTGCCACTCTGTTGTTTCTCATACGCTTGTTCCCCCAAGGCAATTAACAACCAGCAGGTCTGTGAGTTTGACTCTGGTCCCATTTAAGACACCATTTAGTCTTAAAGATTCCTTCAACACATGAGCACTATGGGAGACCTCTGTTTCTTAGATTGCAAGGATTTCTTTAATTAGTTTCTGCTCATTGTTTCCTCATTGCTGCTCCTCCATACAGTGCTGGGATTGATGTCCCAGAATCACAGGGTTCTGGCTTTCTATCTTGGCTGTCCTAGAGATGGAACGGTCAGGTGCAGCGTTTTCTGGGGGTGTAATTTTCTGATATTTGGAAGAAGGATCTTTGCTCTCTGTTGTTTGCATTGTAAACTATCGTGTTATGTTGTTACTCGGATGAAGAGTATTTTACTGGTCCTCTATTTTGGGAAGAACTTGCCAAAATAAAGGAGTAAGGACTTGCAGAATGGATCTTTAAGTAAAGATGAGTAGGAATAAATCATCCCCAGCTACCAGAAAGCTGGCGGTTCTGATACTGAGATGGCTGACCCTCTGATGTTGTGTATGTAATCTTTCAGGTTGCAATTTCCCCAGCTGGCCCTGAGGCGGAGGTTGGGCCAGCTAAGCTGTATGTCTAGGCCTGCTCTGAAACTCCGTTCTTGGCCTCTGACTATTCTCTATTACCTTCTGCCTTTCGGTGCTCTTAAGCCCTTGACCAGAGTGGGATGGAGGCCTGTGAGCAGGGTAAGTGTGAGCAGGTCTCTTGTGCTTCGTGTCTGTTAGCTGTGTGGTGCTGAAGGGAGCTGGCAGCAGCTGGGTGGAAGGGTCCTTAATATTAGAACAGGCTGAGCATCACTAGCATGAAAGCAGAGAGATTAAACTCATCCCTTTAATTTTACTGTTTAGAACTGCCGTGACTAATTGCTTCACAGATAAGTCATTTTTCAGTAGCAGAGAATTTATTTGTCCTCTAATGGCTTGCCCACAAAAATTAACAGAAACTTCTGAATTAATTCAGTCGTCTCAAAGTACGAGGGCAAGGATAAGGCAGAGCACATTGCTTGTCCAGTTCCCTTTCCTGGCCACTGAAATGGTCTCCTGCTTTTTTGTATAGAGAGAGTTTGTTTTTCAATTTTTCTTTTTTTTGAATACTTCTAGTTCAGCCCTTCCAAATAATACACTAATGCAGATCTCTGCTCTGACACCGATGAGAGGAGTCTGCAGGCAGCCCTGCATGGAGGTATTCTCTACATCTGTAATGCAGTTGCAGAATGCATCCACGTTAATGTTTTGATTGAAAGCTGTAACAGAATTGCAGTTCTTAGATTTCCTTTGAATAGCAAACAGCTATTGAAACCAAACGGTTTCATTCCTCCAACTGGAAAACCAGATCTTTTGAAAAAGAAAGGCTATAGGAAATATCAGTGGCAATTTCTGTGACTTTACAGTTGCACCTGTATGCTCTCAGTGCTGGTGGGAAACTGAGCAAAATTGATTTTAGAAATTAACACTGTATAAGGCATGTCAGAATGGCAAAGCGTTTTTTTCTTCATTACTAAAGCTAGAGCACTGTTGATTTGGAAGATTTTATTTGAAGCAAGATTAAGTTGGTCGTTTATTGCTGAAATGTCACTGTTTTCATGTGCAGAATGGTGATTTCCAAGTCAAGTCCTATTTCACTGTGTTTGATAGGATGGACAAGCTCTCAGGCAGCGTGCGCTCGTTTGTGTTTATTGCCATACTGTGCAGGTATTCACCTGGTAGTGAATATAACTGAGAACAAACGATGAGTCTTGCTAAGGAAAAAAAACAAAAAAAAACAAAAAACAATTTAAAAATAACTAAAAAAATCTTGGGAGTGAAATATAGCTGAGTTACACTGTTTGAAACATTGCTCCAGATTCAGCAGGTAACTACTTCTTGTACAAAACTGGTCTCAGAGGGCTCATTTGCTGTGCTACCTCCTACATGGTCACACATACACACGTTTTCTGGCTGATGGTGGGTTACACAGATCTCAGAAGCTGGAGTTACCAACAGGGGTATGCTGTCATCTGCCCTGCTACATCAGTAGTATACTTCTTACCAACATTGTTTCATTTGGTTTGCCTTGCTATTAAAATGCATGCTTTGGTGTAAGCCCAAAGGTAAACATATTTCTACAGAAATACAGGCATTTTTGCAGTTATCAATTTCTTTGTTGTGGGAGAAGGAGTAAGGCTGGCATCAGCTTATACCAGTTTGGGTGCACTGACGTGGGTATATTTTTTCATCTGTATGCATATCAGAGATACTGGAATGTAGAAAATACTGTCATTACAAGGTGCATTATTTTTCTGTCAGTTTTCATTTGGTTGTTCACAAGGAGTAATAAATTGTTAATGTAAGCCCTTCTGAGAAGTATTCCACTACCATGTGTGAAATACCTTTTCCTATAAGCCTCACACAGGGCAGCTTCCAGTAACTTGAATCTGAAGCTTTAGCCTGAAAGGGAGTAGAGGATCTGGCTTCAGTATGAGCTTATAGTAAGTTTCATCCTATCCCTTGTTTGCTGTCATCAGAATGGAAGGAGTGAGGAGAGCAGTGTTTAATTTTTCTCTGCTTAAAGGCTAATTCATTTGTGCCAACGGAGTTGTTGGCATGAACAGCTTGATTCTTTTTGTTTTCTTTATGGGAAGGACTGAATGACGTGATGTAATTAATTCTTCCTTCAGGTTGCTCTGTACAAGTCGGTACCAACTCGACTGCTGTCACGAGCCTGGGGTCGTCTGAACCAGGTGGAGCTGCCCACATGGCTCCGGAAGCCTGTTTATAGCCTGTATATCTGGACGTTTGGTGTGAACATGAAGGAGGCAGCTGTTGAAGATCTGCATCACTATAGAAACCTCAGCGAATTCTTTCGCAGGAAGCTGAAACCACAAGCACGGCCAGTTTGCTGTGTGCACAGTGTGGTAAGTGAAGGGAAATGCAAATGTCCCCCTGCCAAAAACTTGTCTGCTCTCTGTGGTGGATGGAAGGGTGAGGAAAGCATAAATTCCCACTGCATTTCCTTTTCTTTTTTTTTTTTCTTTCATCTGTGCTGTAGATTAGTCCCTCTGATGGAAAGATCCTTAACTTTGGACAAGTAAAGAACTGTGAAGTGGAGCAAGTAAAAGGGGTTACTTATTCTCTGGAGTCTTTCCTGGGACCTCGTATCAGCACGGAAGACTTGCGTTTTAGTGAGGGTAAGTTCTGACCCTCACACCTGTTGTGCTTTGCCCATTCTAAGTGTCCACAGACATCACATTCCCAGGAAAAAAAGCAGTTCTGTGATATTTGTTATATTTTTGGGGCTAAACGCGTCACTGTTGTAGTTCTTCTTTCACATCAGTGGTTTGCATTATCTAACACATTCTGATTCTCCCAGTTTTCATTGGTTGGTTCCATTTTCTGTGGTTATATTAATAACTACAATTACTCCAAGGCCTGCCATGATAACAGTGCTGTAGCATTCCTGCTGACAGATCATGTGCCTGAGCACCTGGTTAGCAAAGATTGCTGCACCCTAATGCATTTTGTGCACAAGCACTGTACCTCTACTGATATGTGCTGTCACCACTTCTGCACCTTGAGCACCATCTTCATGGCCTTCAGTTTTGATAAGAGCAGCATATTTTGTTGAATTGGAGAGGGGACTGGAGAGACCAAGTTCTGCTAACAGCAGTCTTATTTTCAACATGATCTCAACAAGGAACTTCATAAACCTAAGACCTCTTCACAAATTCTGTTACTTCAAATGGTACTTTAGGAAAACAGCCTGGTCTCAGTGGATTTCAGTTTTGGAGTTCACGTTCCCTAATCAGAGCAGCAGAAACTGATGAATTTCCAAAATGTTTAAAACGGTAAAGGATCTAATCTCATTTTGTACAGGGAAAAGAATACATTGAAATATTGAATTCTTGGGCCTATTTCTAGTCTTATCAACACATGCAGATTGCATTCAGTCCATTATTTCTAATACAAGCTGCTCAACTATGGTAGATGATGGCATGAAGAGTACCTTTAACTCCTTTCTTTCTATGCAGTCCCACCTGGCAACTCATTTCAGCAACAGCTAGTCACAAAGGAAGGGAATGAGCTCTACCACTGTGTAATCTACCTTGCACCAGGGGATTATCACTGCTTCCACTCGCCCACTGACTGGAGAGTGTCACACCGCCGTCATTTTCCAGGTAGGTTTCTTCCAGAAAATTAATGCAGAGGGGCTGTGGATGGGAGCACTGCTACAGGCCACTGCTGGATGAAATGTGCCAGTGGAGCAGTTGTACATGTTAGATAATGGGAGCATGGTGCTTTGTCACCCATGGTCATGAATTCTAAGGTGGTATAGTTTACCAGAATTAATCCCATGTGAATGGTAAAAGCAGTAATATTGCATTCAGGCTTTCCTAATTCTTGGAAATAATTGTTGACCTAGGCTGATCCTATTGTCTCCCAGGAAAGAAAAACAAAACATCAATTTGCATACGAAGTATAGTTCTGCAAGTTAGAGCAAACAGTAGCTTAAAATATAATCTCTGTTCCTGTATTTGGCAAAAAAGATACAGCCAAACAGTGACTCAGCCAGAGCTGGCTTCAGATGGTTTTGTCCTCCTCTTTGCAGACCATCATGCTCTAGGTCAGCAAAAAAAAGAGTTTATTTCTTGGTCCTCAATCCTGAAATCTTGGATTTGATTTCAAATACTCTTAGGGAAGATAAAGACCTGCCACAAAGTTTGAGAAATCTGTCAAATGCCAGATTTAAGTTATGTTATGAAGTTAAACTCCAAAGCAAAGGCGTTTAATAAAATTTAACTATCAGATTCAACGTAGTGAAGTACATGCACTTACATCCAGACAGCACTACATACTGTTATGAGACTTATAGTTGAGCTTGAGTATTTTCTCACTATTGCAGGCTCTTTGATGTCTGTGAATCCTGGAGTTGCTCGCTGGATCAAGGAATTATTCTGCCACAATGAACGGGTTGTCCTTACAGGAGACTGGAAACATGGATTTTTCTCTTTAACAGCTGTAGGAGCAACAAACGTGGGCTCTATCCGCATCTACTTTGACCAGGTGAGTAAGATTACTGACAGGCAGCTTTCTGGTTTTGATTGTTGAGGTTTGTAAAGCATAATGGAAGAACAATAAAAAATCAAAATCCTATTAGCCTGAAATTAAGATGTTTCACTCTGTTGATGTTCTGCACTGACTCATTTATAGGGAGCAACCTGCACTGTAGACTTTTTCTTTTAATATTCCTGTTGCATTTTTGAATTGTAAGGTCCTGCATTGAAAATGCCTTCATACCCAAAGGCTACAGCTATAGTGATAGAGTACTGAAACTCTCAAGTAACAGTCTCTTCCCTCTCTTTACAGGATTTGCATACCAACAGTCCACGTTACTCAAAAGGTTCTTACAACGACTTCAGCTTCATATCCAACAACAACAAGGAGGGAATCCCCATGAGGAAGGGAGAACATTTAGGGGAATTTAACTTGGGCTCAACTATTGTACTAATCTTTGAGGCACCCAAGGACTTCAAATTCCAACTTAAAGCTGGACAGAAAATCCGTTTTGGAGAAGCACTGGGCTCTCTCTAAAGACTAACACAGCAAGAAGGCTTTAGATACAAAGGGACTCTTCATACATTGTGGAGTGTTTCACTTGACAAGCATGTATCACTCAGCAGGACCTGGGTGAGGAAAACAGATGTCTTTGCTGTGTTCACCTTTAGAGTATTTGGCCTATATTTACATATTGCTGCTGAAACGCAGAAAGAGAAGAACAAACATACATGTATCAGGTACAGTTGCCTTTAAAGATACTGGAAACCATGGAGGTTTCTGTCCTACCCTGTGCCTGTAGTCTTTTATGTTCTCCCCCTCAGTGTGCCACAGGATAACTATGTTCATAAGCTTATAAATCCCTTTTAAGCCTTCCTAGACTGCAGGTCCAATGGGTAAGGGTGGAAGCAGAGATTAGCTGTATTTAAAGGGATGTTGACAAGTTGAGTCAGACCTTGTACCTTAGCTATGAAGTATCTTTTTCAGACCTTGAATAACAGATGTGTTCTCATCTTTATTCTAAAACACTCCTCTGAAGTTCTTACATAAAATGCACGGAGAGCCAGAAAGTTCAATGGACAAGTATGGCTTCACACTCCAAACTAAGCAAAATGCACAGAGTGTATCTGTACAGTAAGTTACACATCCAATCTATTTTCCAATGTTAGACAACTTTTAATTCTTTTACTTATGTCCCTTTAGAAATGGACTTTGCACTGTATTTTAAAGCTAAAAACACTGTGTCTACATTCCATATGATGAAACTGGTCATCTTGGGATTTTATTTTTTTAAATATTAGGAAACAGATCCATATGTCCATTTTCTACTCCATGGTTTTATTTTGCTATTCCAGGCCTTAAGGACTTTGTATAAGAGAGAGTTCACTTCTTGAATTAAGGGTGGAAGACAGATGTTTCTTTTGTGATTCTATGTATCTTCATTGTTGCTTTGTCATTAAATTCTTGAAGAATTAGTTCCTCTATTTACAGAGCAGTTTCAGATACTTCAGGACCAAATTTTATTGCATGGAGTGAAATGCCCTATGCACTGACAGTGTATTAATATGGCAGATTATTGAAGCAATCTTTGGCCTCCCAGCTGCCAGCCTGGCTGTCCTACAGTGGACTGGCACCTATATCATTTTAGCTGAAACATAAAAAGCCACACCTGCTCTGATTTCTGCCTTCATACTTAATGATAAGAATGGGCTGGGGCCTGAATGCTTTACACTGAAGCTTCATCTTAAAGTGAAACTAAAGAGCCTTGTTGTAACTTCATGTCAATAAGAGTCAATGATGCCCTGGATCTGTTGAGTACGGCACCAAAAGCCCTAACAGAAACTGTGCCAAACTGGAGAAATTCCATTTTAAAGCAATATATTGGTTGGTTTTAGAGTTTAAATTCTTCTAAGTCCAGACACTCAAACATTTAGAACTGTCTTTGCTGTCCGGAGCTTGCTGGAGTGGACATGCTTACAAAACCTGCCTTTTTGATCTCCAAAAATTTCTGATATTACTTTCTTGCTTGAGCCTTGGGTGTTTTTTTCTGCTACTTCAAGGAGCTAGTAGGCTTTGACCAGCTGTGTTTTCCTTAAGAAATACTTACCTTTTTGTATGCACTGCAGAAAATAGAATATAATTTTATTGTACATGTCCAGTTTGCCAAGTCCTGTATGCTTAGCTTGTCATCAGGAAAGAAGGGATGGTAAAATGTGTGTAGTGATGTAGTTCAGCTGTGACTCAGAGATGATGGTGGCTGTTCAGGTGACAAGCAGGAGAAAATTCATTTGGCTCTGAGAGTCAGTGTTTCCTCACTTTACATGGGGAGTAGTTTGAAAGCTTGAAGTGGCTCTCAGCCACCTATCATGTTAAGGTTCTTGGCATTAGCAAGTTTACTCCTGCAGCAGTGTATTACCACAGACAGGTTCTAGAAACGTGCACTTTTTTAAATCACTGAAAGAAAGAAATACTAAAGCAAACATCAGCCCCAGGGGCTACAGCTGTGATTAGCCTCAACTTCAAAGACAGATTAATAGACAACACCTTTGTTCCCGTGGATGAGAGAAAAATGACAGAATCTCTTCCCCTCTTTTCCACTGGGGTTGGTGGCATCCAGCCATAGCCAAAGCAATCTTAAGCTTTAATTTATTGCTACTCAGCAGCATCATCAGCTGCAGTAGCTGAAGGTTACTGACAGGCAGTAGGAGGTAGATTACCTGATGTTTGCTTTAATAGAAGTCTTAAGAGGAGGGAGAGGATTCAGTGTATGAGTGGCTGGTTTTGTGAAGGTCTCAAAGCTGTACAGAGCTAGCTAATTAATAAATGTTACTTGCTATGCAGGGGTCAGCAATCACCCTGGAAGAGGAAGCAAAGTTCCTAGAGGGTACTGATAATGCTGTGAATTTCTCCTGCATGGAGAATCCATTGAATTCTTCAACTGTATCAGTAGCACGGTATTTTTGTATGTCAAAGTGTATGACTTACTGACATGAACTCATTTAATTGCAAACATTTTGAAATAAAGAGTCTTATCCGTGTTGCTTATTTTTGTGAAATGTCAGATTAACCTGAGCTACGTCCAGTGAGTGCAGCGTGAAGTTTGTTTGTTTAAAACCACCTATGGTAACAAAATAAAACAAGCAAGAATATTTAAGTTAGTTTATAAAAATAGAAGTACCGCACCTGGACTAAGAGAATGCGTACATCTTTCTATCCTCTTCTGCCATGAAAGGGGTTAAAATTGCAGCCATTCCTACTAGAAATCGGGTTCATGTGAATTTACATATCCAGAGCAACCTGAATATCATGCAGGCGAGCAACCAGGTTCTGCACGTGACGTCTCTCTTGGTGTTGTGCTCTGGTGAGAGCACTGATCCTCACCTCCAGCTGAAAGTAAAGAAGATGGCATGAGTTGTTTGTTTGGGCAAGTATTTAGTCTTTTTGACTGAGGAAGACTGAATAAGCTCTACCAGCTTATTAATGGTCAGTGGAGCAAAACTTAGAAAAGCCTACTGGAGCTGCAGCTACACTTCTGAACAAAGATTCATTGACACAGCAGTCTGTTGAGCTCAGCAGCCCACTTCTGCTTACAAGTTTCCCTTTTTTTATTTTAGTAACAGCTTACTTACAATCCTCACAACCACCATTAGCCTTCAGGCTAAGTGCATAGCATAGTGATGACAAGTTAGACTTTGCTTTGTTTGCTGTTTACTCACCTGGTCCAATTCTTCCTGAACTTTCTGTATAGTATCTTGATCCTGTGGTTGTGCTCTCCTTTCTAGCCACTTATGTAGAATCTGTGCCTGCTGCCGACAGGACCTGATAAAATGGATTAGAAGGATTCTTATCCAAAGTAGCAGCTCAACAGTCTAATCCAACTTAGATGTGCAATTGATGCCCTTATTGTTTTGTTTTTGTCCCAAACCAGTGAGGGATGAAAGTATAAAAAGGGGGATAAGGGGTGCTGGGAGGTAGAAAAGTGTCTGGAAGCTGTCATCTCCACCTTTACTCCTATTTCCAGACTTCTGCATTTCATGACAGACCCAACCCCCTCAAGCCCCATTCTTTTTCAAGCACTTTTTATAAATTTTTATCATTCTACTGAAGAAGTTATCTATCAAGTCCACAATTTTAGTGGAGGGGTTTTTTTTTGTTGTTGTTTGTTTGTTTTTTAATGTGTGACAACCTGAAAATTCACCCCTTGTGATGAAAGAGCTGAAAGATTCACTTGAGCTCATCTTTGTTTGCATCGCCTTCAGATTATGGCCAGTGACACTTTGGTCAGTGTTTCTTCAGTAGTGCCAAAGGCATAACTGAACCAGTTACAGACTGCAAAAGAAATTGTACATGTACCATTTTCTCCTACCTGGAGTGAACTACTGAAAGGACAGAAATCTTTGTTTAATTCACAGTTCTGTGAAACAGAATGGTTATTTTCAGAAGTAGACAAGCTCATACAAAGAAACCAATATTGAGCTGACAGCATGAAGAAAGGCTGGCTGTAGGGGCTTTGCAACCTACTTGAGTTCTTGCTTCCTGCTGAAGTAGTACTGCATTTGCTGTTGGATGCTTTGGAGTTCTGCTTCTAGCTTTCTCTGTAGCACTATTTCTTCTCTGGAACTGTGCTTTCTTTCTTCCAATTCAGCTGAATGGAAGAAAAAGGGCACAAGCAAGGGAAGTACACTTATTCTGTTTCTTCTTATTAGGGAAAGCCAGGTTAATAAACAGTAAACATGAAACCCTTGAGTGCTTTTCACATTTTGTAACCACGTAGCATCTGTTGACTCAAAAAGATCATACCTAAGAAAGCAGGAGTCCTGACAGCATTACAGGCTCTCACTTTAAACATAACAAAGATGAGAAATACTCTAGTGAATAGTTCTGTACTGCTTATAATTTTGTTTCGTATCTACTCTAGAAGTCAGTCTGGTCCCATCAAGATAAACGCAGTATAAAGAGGTGCTCAGACATCAGTTATCCTTTCAAGTTTTCCAGCAGTACAGGGTGAATTTTACTCTCTCCAGCTCAGCTCAGCTTCATATTCATGCTGGGTATACGTGTATACCCCATTGCTAGTGCTGCTAAAATCCTCACCCCTATCAGTTCCAATCCTTCCATCTCCAGAAGGGCTTTAGTCCCATGTTTCAGCAGAATCCACACAGCTTTATTACCAATGCAAAAATAAATGACTGAATCTTCACCTCCTGACGTTGGCATACAAGAATGCCTTGTCTTCCATGTTTAAGAGCTGAACTACAATCTTTCATAGACTGAAAGAGAATGTGTAAGCACTACAGCTCAGAGCTGAGGACCTACCTGCATTTTGGTGACTCTGTTTTCTCAGTAATTCTTCAGGTGACAGCAAATGTGACTGTAAGTTTGGTTGCAACTTTTCCAACTCTTTTCTCTGTTGACAAGCTTGGGAACGGGCTCCTGTCTGATCATGCACAGGCTGTCCTCCTTTCTGCAAGGTCAGAAAGACATTATTTTGTTCCTTGGAGGATATTCCTTAGTTTCCTACAAGGAGGAATGCACCTGTCCCAAGCTACTAAGCCCTCCTCACCTTAAAACTGCCTACAGTTATTGAGCCTGTCTCACAAACACCACTTGTTCTGTGCTATTTCAAAAAAATAACTTCTTTCCTTGACAGCAGGGAAGTACTCCATCAACATTAATACCTTTTATTCTGAGTGCAACTGAGGAGTTTAAAATGCAAGCACATCCTCGCAGGTGAAATGAATTTCAGTTAAGTAACCTTAGTTACTTAAATTCCTGTAATCTTGGCAAACTAACTACTCTGAAATTGTTGAAAGCTCTGCCCCTCAAGTCAATTGCTGGGAGGTGCATCCTACTGGGAAGGACACAAGATCAGTACAAATTCTTGAATTATAGTTTAAAATACATGGGCTGGCCTGCAAGCAAAATGTTGCTTTAGATTGGTGGTTCTCAAACATTCATAGACAGTTCACTTTCAGTTTCTAAGATGACAGCTAGTACAAAATAAAAATAGCTCAACAACTGGATAGGCAATCCTGAGGAGTCCTAGGAAGAAACAGCAATAAGCTGCTCATGTTGCTGACAGTAGCCCAGTGAGCACACTAGTTTTTCCCTTCAGCAATACACTCACCATTTCTGCTCCAGCTTTCACTTGGGGCATGAAAGATGAAGAAGACCGTAACTCTGGCTTCTGAACAGCACAGTGCACAGCACTTGTCCTTGATGGTACAGATGGGAGAGCATCGTGTGTCAGAGAACAGTGAGTGCCCAGTTGAGAAAGCTTCTTACATGTGTTTTCTTCCATTTCCATTGTTAACATTAAATTTCCGTTCTGAGAAGAACATTTGTTCACATTTGTTGGCTGAAAAGGCATTTTTGATCTGTAAAGGAAGAAAGAAAGTACCTGTACATTTCAACCTACTGGTTTTATACTTCACAGTCAGTGGAAAAAAAAATAAAATAAACAGAATCTTGCTTTTCCCTCACATACTGAAATAAGCTCCTGTCCTGCAGGGCACTAACTGGCTTCTTAAACTACCAGCAGTACCATACATGGCACAGAACTGCTAGCAACCTACCTCCATCCAGACCTGCACTGACCTTGCTGTAAAAAGTAATATAAAAATCCTTTAAAATGGAAAAAAAACCAAACATATTTTGAAAACTTTCCAGTTGGCTGTTCTGTTCTGCAGAAGCAACTCTCAATTTAACAAGAAAAATAATAAAAACAAAATAAAAACAAAGAGAAAACCACAAAAAAAGTAGCAAAGCAGTTAAGGTTTCTACGATGCCTACCCACCCTGCTCCAGATCCTTCACATTAACCCTGGCTGAACAACTGCAGAGGTGACAATTCAGCCTGAGTTTTGGAAACTGGTGATCTCTCATCTTTCCATTCAAATGTTGTACTAATGAAACAAAGGCCTTGGTTGCTAGGAGAGTGGTGAGGTACTGGAACAGGCTGCCCAGAGAGGTTGTGGATGCCCCGTCCCTGGAGGTGTTCAAGGCCAGGTTGGATGGGGCCCTGGGCAGCCTGGTCTAGCATTAGGTGGGAAGGTTGGTGGCCCTGCATGTGGCAGGGGGGTTGGAGATTCATGATCCTTGAGGTCCCTTCCAACCCTGGCAATTCTGTGATTCTGCAATTCGATTTAACTTGAATGTTCCATTATTCTTGTCCACTTTACAAGAAATCTGAAATGTTAAGGCAATATTGATAGTATAGGACAATGCACAGTCCCACAATTACTGAACACCTTGTATTACAAAGGCATGGGAATGGGAATTTGAGGGGAGAAGCACAGCGTAACACCCTTTTCCTTAACTATTAAAGAGAGATTTTCTACCTGGAAAAAGGAGTTCCCAGCAGTTCCTTTCTTTCTAGAGATTCTATGAGGAAGTCAGGTCTTCGTGGTGGTAACCTTGCTCGTCGAACAACCTCTCTGAAAAGACCAGAAACCATATATAATCATTATTATTTCGAATTGGCATAAGCTGGCATTGCAGCTAAAGAAATAGCTTTATTCTGTCACTTATACACTGCCTGCAAAATTGCTCTTGCATGCAATAGTTTTTAAAGATTAGATTATAACCTGTATCAATGTCACAACCTGGTTCACTGTATGTTTATTGTTTTGTCAGATTTCATTCCATGACTTTGGTGGGGGGAAAACGAGCTTCAGTAGCAGCTCTAAGTCACTTGGGCAAGATAAGCTCTCACGATGGCATAAAATCCCTTCACCACACACTAATCAAGTGCTTTATTATGTAACATATCCTACGACAAACAATAAATATTCCATAAATTCATAGATGTATGTTGAGAAAGTCCTGCTGGAAAGCATATGGCTGAGTTTATTCCACTCATCACCAATAGAGAAATCACAAAATCCTTTCATTACTTAAGGGCCAATATATGTGCCATACAGCAGCTCTTGCGTAACACCAGCCATGTGGCAAAGCGTCAGAGAAAGGAAAACTGCATGAAAATAAACATCACCACTGTAAAAACTTGGAAACATACATATATAGATTTGTTTTTATCTATCTATAGTCTCAGCTGAACAAAAGGACAGGGTGTTTTACTTTGAATCACAGGCAAAATTGTATGTGAGATCCAAACAAGGGATGAGATGTAGTGCTTCAAGATAAAGATATGCACACATACATATATAGACACACAGACACAGAGTGTGTGTAGAACTACATATAGACATCAGAGGAATGCAGGAGAGACTAGAATTTTATACTCACAGCTCACTGAGAGTTGAGTTATTGCCAGCAAATAGGAATGGTAGATCACTGCATTTTGAAGGCCACAGCTTTTCCTCTGCTGAATGTCCTCTAGTTTCAAGGCTGTCATCAGGTATTTCAAATGTCACTTGCTTCTTCAAAGGTGGCAGAAAAGAACGAGACTTATTTAATCTCTTGTAGAGAGCCTTCTGTTTCCAGAGCATTGCACAACGATAGACTGACTGGTGAAGATTGTAGGCTGCCTGCCAACACAAAGAATAGTAGAGCATTTGATGGTTGAGAGTAGACAGTAACACCACCCCACCCGTGGAGAACATGGGTGAAATGAACTGCAATTCTGACAACCTGATAGCCATACCATCTCTCCATGCTAAATCAGCAGGTCCACCACATTAACATTTTGATAAAGAGAATGAACTGGGTACTTCTGTAACGAGGCAGGCTGCACATGAATAAACAACAACCAAGATCTTGAAAATCTGGAAAAGATCTAGGGAAGCTGCCCAAGGACAGGAAGAAAATAATCAGTGCAGGCATTCCTATGGTCCTCTCCACATGCAGGGCTGGGCAGATACTCCAAGGCAGAAGTGACAGTGTAGCCCACATCTGCAAGCATAAGTGGTGCTAAATCTAAGACAGGGTTAGATGCAGCTTAAACCTAGAGTTCAGAAACCTTAGCCACAGGCAAAGGTTTTAACCAGCTACATTGTCTATGGCAGGATTTGGCCAGTTTTGAAACAGCTTCATTAAGAAAGACTTCCAAATAGCCACGCAAGCCTGATCTGCTATAGACTCAGCTGGGCTGAAGGTCAAGGTGTTTTGCTTTGAATCACAGACAAAAGCATATGTCTGATCCAACTAAGAGCTGAGATACAGAGTTCCAAGATGCATACACACTGCACACACACACACACAGAGTCAGACTGACTATAGATCAGAGCAGATCAGTGCCCTGGGTGTATCCAAGCAATCACTCTTGTCTCTTACCTTCATCTGGTTCCGGGCTTGGAGTTCTCCCCGCAACTGTTTCATGCCAGCAGTGTACCTCAAAATCCTGGTTACACCTTCTCTCAGGAGAGCAGAACGATAAACTCCTTTGGCTTTTTCAATACGCTCTTTGTACTGCTGTTGCCCCTGGGCAAATCTCAGCCAAGCATTGAATACCTACAACATAAAGAGCATACAGCTGAAACCATTACAAAGACAAGTTCTGGGTGAGAGACTCCCCCTGCAGACAAGAACATTCTCTGTTGCACTGGACAGGTAGAGCTAAGCAGGACACCACCAAAAAGACAAGGAAAGGGGGATTTAAGTCAGCTAAGACAGGATAGGGAAAACACACAGAATTTTTTTTTTAACTGGATAAGAGGGTCTAGGGACAGTTTTCCAGCTTACCAAATTAATATACAGCACTTTAAAGAGGAAAAGGAAAAAAAGAGATGCACAATGTGCACTCTGTAATTGCAGTCAGACCTACGTATGATGTGCACAGACTCAAACACACTTGTCTGCCCCTGAGCCTCACACAGCCTTACCTTCCTCTGCAATGAAAGTGACCAGTGCCACAATGCTTGCACCGTGTTTCGCTTTTCCCATTGCTGCTGCAACAGCTATAAGAAAAAAATATGTATTGTACAATCAGGTTGGCAGTTTACATGTGCTATACCAGAAATAATAGCCAAATGCAGCATTAACCAAAGAGAAAGTGCTGGTAGAGCCATTGCTGAATAACCTACTCAGTTCACCCAGTATGTGTAAGGTGTCTCTTGAGCGAATGGAACCAAGAATCCAGAGAATGTTTAAACAATTTTGTTTGGTCTCACGTGAAATAAATAATAAGAAGAAGGAATAAGCATTAGCAAGGAGCTAAAGCACTTAACTTAGTGCACTTAACCAAAGGCCAATCCCTTACCCTTGTCTTCCAGCACAAAAAGAAAGTGGAGAGAAGCCTATGAGTCATTAGCTGTCCTCCTTTTCTCTGCAGTAGCTGCAAGGCAAAAAAAGAAATGAGTCACTTGCAGACAAATCACATTTATCTGATCCAAATGCTACTAGAGCAGAACAAGGAGCCTTCATCACCTACCCTTTGTTGAGGCCAGCCACCCTCAAATCCCAAACACACTACGGTGTAATTCCATCTGCAAATTTTCACAACCCCAAAAAAGACTTTATTGACAGTAAATTATTTCACATATGGCAGCCTAGCTTGTCATCTCCTGTTACATCTGTTAGTTCTAATCAACACTTCTTCAAGCAAAGCACATGCATGTTCCTTCCTCAGTGCACAATACACTTAAACTTCTCCTTGGCCAAGACTATCATTTCTTTCTCCAGACACATCACTTGCTCCTCTATACCAGCAACTTCCCACCCTAAGCAATTTGCTAGCAAGGTTGCTGATCCATCTCACCATCTTCTCAATGCACTGCTGATGGTATTTCTTCCATTTTTCCAGGTAATTCTGCAGTAGGTGCTGCTGATGGTGCTGCACTGCTCTGCGCTGCTGAACCTTCATCATCAGAGACTCCTTAGTAAATTCCTTCCAGCAGAGAAACAGGGTCTGTAAACGCACTATCAAGAAAAGATAAATCAACTACCATACTGAAAGAAACTCTCAATCTCAGATAGTATTGATTGATAGCTACTCCTCTAGGCTGTTTTGGCCATACTTCGCACTGACAGTACTCAGCACTAGGAAGAAGGATGCTGAAGAATTTCAGATACCAAACCTGATACCTTGCCCTGTCTTACAAGTCTTTCCTGATGTCATTGACACTCTTTACAATCTTTAGGAAATCATTTGACCCCTTTGTGCTTCAGAGTCATCAGCCACACTGTTTAAAAGAAATCATGACATTGCTTGTAGAGTTTGCCTAACTTTTCATGTTAATGACTTGAGAAAATAATTGATAAAATGACTTGAACAGAGATGTCTGAGCTTCTCAATATCACTAATGGAAAACTCCATGAAGGATGGAAGTGTTATCATCCATTACATAGAGAGAGAACTGAGAGAGAGGCATAAACAGCTTTCAGTAGAATGCTGGAGCCCCAGGTCATTCTCCATTCTATGGGGCCAACCAGTTAAGCTTGAAATGAAGTCATCCATACTGACAACATAAAAGACTGCCCTACTAAGCTATGCCTTTCTAGAGACTACACATGGATAGCTAAGTTTTTAGGGAGTTTAATATCCCCATTGGCTCACCTGCATCCAAATGTTTTCTGGCCTCCATCACAGCTGCCACCTTCTGCTGACGACGATACACTCGTAGTGAGGCAGTGTACCTCCACTGCAGCAACACCTAAAAGATATGATGCAAACAGGGGACAGGATACAGACTGACACTGTAATATTAGAAGTGGAAGCAATGTACTCCACACTGCTGGCACCACAACCATTTCTATTTTATTTTTTCACATCAAGCTTAGCAAAATGGTGCAAATTTCCTACAAATGAAATTTCAGAGGGTCCCCCTCACATTTTTTTCAAGGCATTCTTCTTTTCTGTCTTCCCCACAGGTCATACTATCAGTAGTAGTATCAGACTACTTTCTCCTAAGGAAATGGGGAGAAGGAAAGTGACAAGAACAATCACGAGCTCTCTCACAGAAAATAGTTTCAGAGATGTCTGTTGAAACAACCTGGAACTGGGAATTTGGCTCCCACAACTTCCTAGGCCTTTCTTGAAAGTGGCTCTCAGATCAAGTTTTGGTTCATTCTAATTGCATTACCTGACCCCACCTGACCTAGCATTTGTACAGACCTTAGTATCTGCTATACCTTTAACAGAATTGCTCTCTGGTAGTGCTCATCTGCTTGAGTAGTCACTTTTCGTTCATGTATAAGAGCAAGAGCATTTTCCCTCCACAAATACAGAAGCTGCCTGTAAGCAAAATGAAAACAAGGAAAAAGAAAATATTAAGAATGATTCTCACTTCAGTGTTACAACTGAGTCAGAGTCCACACACTGCAGGGAATGACGCAGCTGTCTGGTGTCTGTCATGGAACTGAACACAGATAAATTCTTGCAAGTGCAACAGGCACAGTCAGTGAGATGGTAATAAGTTAAAAAAAGTTAAAGCAAAACAGATAGTGACCCAGTAAGTGGCTGAATTCTTTTAGTTAGACCAGCACAGACACAGTCAATTCTCATCACCAAATGCTCAAAAATCTGCAAGGCTGGCAAGCAAAAGAAACAGAGTAACTGATTACAGTGCAGTTACTCCTCTCTCATGTTGCTCTGCACAAGTAAACACAACCTTACCGCAGCAGTAGTCTATTGTGCTGTTCCTCCTTTTCAGCTACTTGGTACAGAATGCAGTGAATGTTATCTTGATAACTCTGTAAGAAAAGCAGAGAGAGGTGAGATTTCCTAAGCTGCCAGGACTTTTGAGAAGAGAAAATGTCTGGAAAATCTTAACAGGAACTTTAGAGTTGAGGATAAAAAAAAAAGTTCAAGCCACTGGAATCAAATACTGTTTTTCTGAGATGAACAGTCAATATGTGCCAGCTAATGCTAGCTGCTGTATATCATTCATCACAGCCACAAGATGACATTGCTTCTTTTGGTCTAAAGAACAACTCATATACCCCATCTACAACATCTCTATTTCACTCTGCACAACTGATGTGTAAATAACCATAGTGAAACAGCACAGCAGCTCGTCATTTCTCGCTGAAACACTTAAGTACACACAGACAACTTTCCATAAAGAAAAAAACATTTTCTCCTACCTTCCAGGCTGCCAACATCTTGCCAAGTAGCACGTGCTGATAATGCATGTCTGCTTGCACCAGCTTCCTCCATTTCTCACACTGATGTCGCATGTACTACATGGAAGGGAGACAAAAAAAGGCAAAAAAAGAATAGATAAGTGATGAAGAGAAAACTAGTAATGACAGACAGCAGAAGGAAAAGGACCATTCCTAATCTCTAGGGAAACACTGATCCTTTATCTTGCTGTACAGGGTCCACAAACTAGTGCTGCAGTCTGCTATTCCTTTCCAAAGGGCTAAATTAGGCTTCCCCCCCCTTTCAGGAGTCCTCCAGAAGAACAGCATGATTCACTCAAGTTATCAGTTTTGAAGCAACAGACTAACATCAACTTTAATTTTCCCCAACTCTTAACATATGCTGCAAGACACACTTGGTATATCATGTCATGGCAACAGATGACATAAAAGTTAAATACCACCTAATACTACCTACTATGGTTTGTGCAAAACCAGACCATACACCACAGCCATGCTGCACATTCCCAGCCTAAATAAAGCTTTCAGAAGGACATATTTGGTATTCACTACGAAAAATTTCATCACACCAACTATGGTAACATTCCTAGATAAATCTCCAAAGCTACAGTCCCGTTGTAATTATCCCTAGACAAGTGAACAAGACGAAGACTAACAACCTTCAATCTGCATTATCCCTGTTCCACCCACACTGAATTGATTTTATCCACCTGGGAAGAGAGAAGGACTTAGGAATGATTAGTGTTTAAAATAATTTCCTTTAAAATGTAGTCATATGGGTACAAGCAATTCGAATAAAATAAAAAGGATTTAAGCTCTTCCCCACCTGTTAACTCTCTCACCTTTCTCCACTTGTTCCAAGATTGCTGCAGACACTTTGAATAGTGAAACCTTAAGGCTTGCATCTCCTTGAGCTTCCTATAGGAGAAATAATTTAATTATTTCTCCCTCAGTGCAATCCATGTTACTGCACATTTTTAGCCTAAGTCCATATTTGCTATTGTCAGTTTACTCAGTAAAAGATAAACCAGTATAATCTAAAGCACAAATAAGGAGTCAGAGTCAATGAATTAAATGTTGCTTTGCCAAAAGTGGGCCACCACAGGGCCAGTCCAAATAATTCTCCCCTTTAAAAAATTTCTTACTCCATTTTTCTCTCCTGAGTATTTTTCTTCCACAAACAGAAAGCATTCAGAAGAAGCATATTCCTGTAGTGATCTCTTGCACGAGCCAAGTCCTCTTGCTCTTCCAGATGTGCAGCTGTTCTTCTACGCCAAAAGCACCAGAAAGAAACCAAAAGTTGCCTTTCGAAATGAAGTACAGCCTATAATGGTGAGAAGATGGCAATGAATACGTGACACAGGTCAGCTGCAAGCAATGGAAGAGACATTTATTCAGAGTAACAGACAGAACTGCCCCACGTTTATTTTCATCTTTTCACATTGAACAGCAATGGACACAAAGCCTGACTGCTGTGAGTTCCTGTGAACTGTTCTACCTGCTCCTGTGTTTGTGGAGGGAGAAACTGTTATCAGAAAACAGCAGGCCAAAGAGAAAACATGGAAGCTAATAAGTAGCACATGAAAGACTCCCAATTATTGACAAGTTCTGTTGAATTTGCATGAAGTGATAAACGCAGAACAGTAGGAATCAGAAGCATCTCCACAAAACCATCAGCACATGCTAACACTGACTATAGTTGCACTGTACTGTGTAACTGTATACACTATTGTGTAACTTACAGAGCACAAAATAAGGCAGTGGCTACTATGTATTTAAGACTGCGAGATCGTATATACACCTGGAAATGAAATACTCCCCCAGGGACCTCCTGAACACCTAGCTAGAAGCTGCTGGAGTGTTAGTAGAACCTCATACCTCTTAAATACACGAGGTTGGCTCTCATTATCATTGTTTCAACCAGGTAACTATAGAACAGAGTGCCAGCATATACATACACTGTGAGGGAATAAGTGAACGACTCATGCAAACAGTTCTGGTAATCAGTTGCCTGATTCTATTTATAAATAAGCAGCTTAATGTAAAATGGTGATTAGTAAATACTGGTTATTTCTGTAACTTGATTCCACCACCAGGAAAAAAAGAATTTACAACACCTAAGTCCATTTCATGTTAACTAAGGTTCACTGAGAGCGACTAAAAAAGCATTCCTCTACTTCCTGAGCAAGGCCTGCTAAAAAAAAAAAGTTACTTTTACCCTGTTCTCTCCCATCCTGTATTCTTGCTGCTTGCATGCCTTCACCAACCATGTGTCAAATACATGTCTCATCAACACCCTCCTGCAGATAAAGAGGAAGACTATCAGCAGAGAAGATAAATTCCTTTATACAACTTATTTCATAAACTTCAGAAGACCAACCTATCTACAGCTTAAACAGCTACTTGATTTTCTACTTCAAGCTAGACCTCTTTGGAAATTTGGTAGCTACACAATTTTCTGGGTTAAAACTAGAAAACAAACAACAAAAACTACCAGACAATTAGTCTGCCCTCTGAAATGTTAAGGAGAGTACATAAGACAAGACCAATGAGTTTAATGAAATTATTATAATTGTCTGCTTTCACTCAGATAATTCAAAAGACTGTTCCAACTTCTGATTCATTTATTTATTTACAAACACAGAAAATTATATAATAACTTCTTACTTCTCATCCATTATACATATAGTCCAACTTCTCCTCCCTTGGAAAGACTTTGAAGATCCTACTCTACTTTTATTTTTATTTAAAAACAAACAAACAAAAAGGAACACTGCAATAGAACTTGAAAAATGTTATGACAACAAAAAGCAGCACGGTCTGATTTCAACACTGATTTAATTCTACCAAAGTCTTCTTTTTTAAACAAGGCAAGGTTAGTTGCTATCATCAAATTTTCTTTCTCACTAGATGAAGATAATCCTTCCTTGCTAGTTTGCCTCCCTTCCAGTGATGGGCAAGAATTAAACAACGTTCCAAAGATGTAATGATACATATTTGTAATTGAGCACTATAAACTCTCACACAGAACAAGCATGTGGTAGAAGCATCCTAGTCAGAAGTCTGAGCTAATCTAGTAGGAACAGCACACACCCAGCACTACATTTGTTATTTCTAAAACTCAGTCATGTGGGTGTATTAATTGGATTGTTAGCAAGTCTCAGCCCTTCCCTAGTCTAAAGTTTAAAATATATTTTGGACTCTCACCAGGCAATTTATGGTAGGTAGCTATTATAGCTCATTTTAAATTTATAGCTTGGTAAACAATGTGAGTTAAGTGGGCCTTCCTGGAGGATACTGGAAGCTGCCAATGGTTTTCAGTTTCAGCTCGAGTTTTGGAATCTGTGTGCTGTACAAGTCAGCATGCTTTACTGAGTAGCACAAGCTGTCCTGTAGAGGTTCCTCCCTGCTAATTCTCATCCAGAAAAGAAGAAGGTTCTAAGGCAACAGCATTTGGAGTACTTGAACATCCTGCAATTTTTGAACTGACTGATGGCAGCATTAAGAACCAATAGACAGAAAAAGCATAAAAATCCATCCAAATTCATAACACATACATCCCACCAAGCTCCACGGGTCAAATTTAAAAGCATTCCAGCTGCTTTGTTTATGTTGACTTATTTCTAGGACTAAATAAACTCAGCCTCTACAAAAAGCCTTATTTTCTCTATTGCAATACTTCCAACATCAGGGCTAGCATATGTGAGTCATCAGCTTCCCACTTCCCACAGAGTAAAGAAGGAGAAAGATGCTGAGCTCTGCCTGTGCCCATGTTCCAGCCTACTGCTCTCACTGGCAGAACTTCCAGTTTTTGTATCCAATATTGAAGGTCTCCAACTAGGCTTAATCCACCTCCCCATCACATTTTACACAGAAGTAGGAGATACAAATTGTTTTTCACAGAAGAGATACAAGCAATTTGCATCAAGAGGGTCATGCTCCAAAAGGTATTAACAGATATTAAATCAGAAGCAAGGCTCACCAATCTCAAATTTGTATAAATTTATATGAATATTTCTCTGCATACCTGTAATGGGCATGTGCCATAGATGTTAAAGCCTGCTGTTGTTGTTCTTCCTTCTCTTCCAAACGGGACTTCCAGCAGTTCCAGAACTTCTGCAGCACCTGAAACAGAACAATAAAGATATGAAAAACATGGCCATTAAAGGAAGGAGAAGAACCCAAATAAAGATTAAGTGTCTCACTAAACTTGCATGCAGCAGGCAATTGTTGTTGCAGCATGCTGCCCTGCTTCACAATTTTTTTTTTTATTACCTGCTTTAATTTGTTCTAGCCAAATAAAAAGTTGTGATAAACACTAGAAAACACAAAAGTAAAATAACATACCTAAGGTGGACAACAGACTTGGACAAGAGATTTTCTGTCTCTTAGTATTTAGGAACAGAGTCAGAGATTTAATTAAAAAAATATTTTGTAGCTGAAAGAAGTAGACAATAGGACAGCTCAAGAAAAACACTGACCAAGAAAAAAAAGTCACACTCACCGTAACTCGGTGCTGGTGGAACGACAGATTTTTTCTCACTCGATGAAGATGACTGTTCATGACATTCTGCTGAAGACCCTTAAACCCAAACTTCTGTAGGAGTAAGAAATGCAAATAACTTGCACAAAAATCCAAGTCAGCAAGCACTCACCAGTTTAGAACTGGCTGCTCCCATATTCGATGTTCCTCCTTGCAATACCTAACATTTATGATCTTGTCATCAACAAAGCCATCCAATTTCCTCCACAGATCATCACTTCCCCATTTAAACTAAAACTCCCTTCCACTTTCTCAGGGTTTTATATGAGACAACTAACTTTTTCAGTGACTATCAACACTATTACTCAAGTCCTTTCCTCATCTACATCTTCACTTCAGTATTTGTAACTCACCTCTTATTAATAACAGAAAATATCCACTTCCCTTTTAGGCCTCCTCTGCACAAGAGTAAAAGCATTAATACACTGAAGTAGCTGCACTTCTTTTAATCTACAATTCCACAACACTTTGGCCCACAAGTAAACAGCACTATGTGAGAATCTTGTCTTAAAGGGCTCTTAAAGTCAGTAACACTTTCAATCTATGATCCAATCAGATTTACTGCTATTCTTTTGATGATCCACACTTAAAGAATTCAGTTCTAAAAAAGCTGAAGGCTTGTGTCCACCTTTCAAGCAGTCCTCATAGCCTTTTCTTTTTTGGGGGGGGGAGAGGTGAATAAAAACACTCAACTTGCTGCATATGCTATCTCATGTGGAAAGCATGTATGGGAAGTACAAATAATTCTTGTAGCAAAACAGCGTAAGCAGACAAACATCTAGGGTAGTGATACATAATAGAAATAAGGAAAAAGAAATCACAGGAGATCTAGAGGAAAACTCTATTTCATGGTGAAAAGGCCTGTGAACAGGATAGCCTGCTATAACCAAGATTAATATGCTACTTCACTAGTTTCCTAATTGGAATAGTAACTATTTCAGATAGCAGCAGTTTCCCCATCTGGATTCACTGTCATTCTATATCTGGAATTTGGAAACTCACTGTGGTAGAAAATGGCACAGTCCCCATTCAGTACCCATGTATCACTGTTAGTATTCAAGCACACTGAAGAAGTGTTTGAATTCTCTCCACAGCCTCTTCCCCATGATATAACCTAACCCTGCTCTTACCAGCAGCTGATGTCTGTGGTGCTTTTCAGCCAGCTCACATTGCAGAGTCTCTTCCACACACAGTACAACATCTGTTACTGAGTTAAAGCATCTTTTACTCAGAAACACTCACCCTGATAAATACACAACCTTCTCTCACAGACAGGAATGGAATCTCATCTAAATTTGCTTCAACATTTGAATTTTCAGCACTGGTATTTGTAGGGAGATATCTTGATCACAGTCAAGTTTTTAGATTTGGAAAGCTTACTGCAATACATTTCTAATTTGCCATACACAGCACCCAATAGGACACCTCAAGATATACTCTGTCACAAGAACATTACAAAAAACCAAGCTCACTGTATACAGCTCGATGCTGACAGCTTCACAGATTCTTTTCTAATTTGCAAGTATTTTTTTCTCCTGCAGGCTCTTGGCTAACACACTGTGATCACAATAGCTTTACTTAGTATGGCCTTACACACATACTTCTAAGGCTACCTTTGTCACCCATGCTGCTACGTGATAATCCTACTTATTAACCAGATCCTTCCCCTGCAGTGATGTTTTTAACTTGTCCCTGTTAGTGACCACACAGAAAATGGATACAATGCTTCCAGCGTGCAAAGACTCTCCTTAAGGTAATCCTTGCTGACAGTTTTTCAAGGTCCTTTTGGTAAGCATGCACTCTCCTCCTGCACTCCCATGACAGATGCCAATCTGAGAAACACTGCTGGACCACCCGACCTTGGAGATGCTTTTGAGCCAGCTCTAGAAAACAAACACACAAATCGTTTATAAAATATCCCATTTGGGACTCATTTACTTCAGGTCCAGAAGCAAAAGTAGCTCTAATACTGTAAAATAGTGGTAAAAACTCACAGTTAACACTCAGCTGTGGACTACATTCTCTCTTTTGATCAGAAACATGGTTTTAAAGCAGTAACTTACCATACTAATTTAAGAAGGAACACAAATTGATTTAACAAGTGCCACAGTGTCACTTATTCAACATTCACAAGCTCACATTTCAGAATAGTTGTTATCAGCTACCAGATAGACACACTGAACTCTTTTCCACTACTATCCATCAATAGGCATTCATCCAAACATCTGAATTTGTACTGGTGACTTCAAGGGAGAAATAGAAGAATCAGTGTAATTATCTTTATTGCCTGTAGGATCTATGATTTGTTTAATTACCAAGAAGATCCACACACAGTCTGATTCATAAGAGCCCTGAATTGATCCTTCTCACATTTCCCAATCAGAATACAAAAGTGAAACACACAAAGTTTCCAAAAGGTAACAGTAAAACATTTTCTTTTAAATAACGTGCAGAGCAGCTGATCTTTCTGACAGTTCAGTACAAAACTTGAACTAGCGAGGCCTGCAACAATGCACTGCCCAGGTAGCACCTCACCATCTGTTGAGGCTGCAGCTGCAGGAAGCACTGCAGTGCCTGCTATAATCAATGTAACGGTGCCCTAAGCAAAGGGGCTGAGCCCCATCTTGCTCTTACTCACCATTTTCACTCACCATTCTGATGTTTCTTTTCCCTGCGGATGTTCACATATTCCAGCCATGCTTCCATGCACCTCTTCAATTCCCTGTGCACATGGTGAGTTACTGCCCTGATCTCCTTCTGCTTGGCATTCTGGCTGTTTAAATATAGGTCTCGCCACTGCAGCCAAGCCTGACAGGACAATTGAGAGAGGACAGAAATGAGAAAAAGACAAGATTAGGGAAGTAGAACAAAGAAAGGGTGAGGCAGAACACACAGTTAATAGAAAATTCCCCATAGAAGTGGAAGCCACGAGCAATGAGCTTTTCTCCAAGTAAACAAAACAAAACCAACAAATAATCTACAATTATTTTAATCAGCTGTGGATAGATAATAAAATGCAAACCATGGTCACCAACCTTCTCCCAGCCAATTTAATAACCTGACATTCCTCCTGTATTTACAGCCTTCCCTCTACTCTAGTTCATTCAAATACCCAAAGCAACAGCAGCATAGAAAAAGTAGAGACACAGAGAATGTCCACTTTGTACTATATATGGGATTTTTGTTGTTGTTTTTCATATTCCCACATTTTTTTCCCTTAAAAGCCCAAAATAATATTAAAATAATAATACTAGAATATTAGAAGCCCAAAATAATGAAGAATAACAGACTTTCAGAAAGATGAGTTCCCAAACCATAAGCTTATCTCTTCAGCATAACGTTGTCCTAAAACAGGTAGTGCTGCTATCTTAAAATGAAGGCAGAATTAAATACCATCATCTGACCTTTTTTTTTTTTTTTTTTTTTTAAATGAAACAGACAAAAAGCAACAGTTCCATGGAAAGAAAGAAAACCACGTTGCTCTCATGTTAGCTGAAATGAAGGAACTGGCAACCTCTCAAGAATATGAAATGCTAGATGGAACTTTCTTACTCAAAATAGAGTTAAACACACTGACAGAAATTCACTAGGAGTGAAGGAACATTGTCTTACAGAGAGGCAAGTTGCTGCCAAACAGGTGACTGGTGCTTGTCTCCTAACAGAATAGTAAACTGGATCTCAGAGGAGTTCAGCACTCACAAGAGCTGGATGCAATCACTGTTAGTGTCTGCCCAGAACACCACAGCTGCATGCTCACATACTGGTTATTTTCTTTTACCTCGTGGCTAGTTATCAGGTAGTGAAGGTGTCAGAATTCTCTCCACTATCACAGTAAGAATTCTTCTGGCTGCTTCCCAGCAAATATAAGACATGGTTCCAGTTAGCTTTGCCTACATTTCTTGTAAATATTTTTTCTTGTAAAATAATCAAACTATCATAATTTGCAAAGAAAATAAGAGAGACCTTTTTGTTATTCTTATTAATCAGCAACACATTAGTTACACCTGTCTGCAATTTAAACATTAGAAATGGTAATGTCTGGACTTGCTAAAACTTACTCGAAATTGCAGGCTCTGAGCCCAGTGCTGCAGAGCCAAAATATTCATTTTACGTCCGGTACAGATCTGACAGCATCGTCTTCTCCACACTGCCCATGATGTCCTGCAAGACATTATTACAGATATTCAAACACAGTTTCACAGTTTTGTGCAAGAAATCATTTTCCTCTCACTGGAAAAGGTACAGATGGAGATTGTTTAAGGCCACAATCTATGGGCATACTAGAGGAATTCAAGTGAAATCAAACTTGGAACGAAGTCACTGTAGGAGAGATGAAAGAATACAAGCAAAAATTGTGGCCTTATGATCATTATCTCTCTGCCTATTTCCACTGCATTCTTACCGCAAACGGGTTCTTTCCCTGAATGCCAGTGCCACAGCCTGCATCCTTTGTTTTGTCCTTTGGACATCAACATAAATCAGCCAATGCTGCCAGGTCCTGAGCAGTTTTTGCTTCTTTGCTGTGCAAAACAAAACAGTACAGCACTTGAAGTTCATACAAGAATCTGGCATTTTTAACTACTCTGTACCACTGCTGGTCTACAACCTTCAGCCCACAGTGACACCTCGTGGGAAACCCTACAATGACACCAGAGTCACAGCCACAACCACCCACCCATGCCTAATTGTGTCACATGGACAAGGGACTCTGACATGCTGACAGTGCCATGCCACTTGTTCAGAACACTGAATTATCGGCACTGCTTTGTCTCACAGGATGTACAATGGTGTAAAAGTACTCAAAACAGCCTCATGAAATAAGAATTGAGAATTTTCTTTGGTTACTTAAAAAAAAAAAAAGCGTCCATCAGTAGCTTTTCAAGACAAACTCTGTTTCAAGACAAACAGAACTCAACCAGAAATGAGCCCAGTTTGTTCAGCAGCCTGTAATGCGGCTCAATCAGAAGTGTCATAAGTTCCAGCTTACACTATCAGTGCACTGCTCTGTCTCCTTATAAAAATCTGGCTTGTCAGAGCTGATACCACTGAAGCAAATTTATTAGAAAAAACACATGCAAAAAATATAACTGATTTTATGCTACTTCACATCTACACCTCAAAAAAAATTCTTTTTTTTTTTTTTTTTAAAGATTTCTTTGTCATCTTATGGATCAAGCATTCACATATCTTAAACAGGTCACTTTTCTGTTGTTTTGACTAAGTAACGTACAGCTACTTCTGTAATTACTCTGATCTCAGGAAAAAAAAAAAAAAAGGAACTTCAGACAGTCTATTGGCTGTTTCCCAAGATGACAGTCTATATCGTATCCTGGGACAACATTCATATTCAAACAGATACAATAACATCTTGCAAATTGGCCCAGAACAAAATCATCGTAACATCTTTAAAAGGAAGTCATCTTCCCTTCCATAGGAACAACATTCCCTGACACTGAAGGAAGTTGCAACCAATATAGGCAACTTCATCAGTAGGACACATCCACTGCAGAATAAAGAAGCTCCATAAGACAAAAGGAACTTCAGAAGTTTGGGCTTCTTTTCTGCTGCACAGCAGAAGCTGAAAGGAATCATGAATTCAGGAAAAAAAAGCACAGTTAAGTTTATACCACAGGGAATCAATGTCTTATTTCTATTGCCATAGTTGATAGGGAATTCCTATAACACATTCTAGTCAAAAATATCTGTTTGAATATGTAATGTGATAAAGTTAAACACAAACAAACATAAAAATGTGTTTCAAACCAGATGGAGAGGTCCTTAAGCTTATTCACCAACATCCTTACACAGTGCACCAAAAGAAACCCCTCTGGAAGTTTTAGACAGACAACCATCTGCACCTGAAAGCATTACACCTTCACAGGGTGGGGAAGGTAAATGCCCAAACACATTCAAGGGACAGATTCTGTGCAAGTATTTCCCCTTTGGTAGCTCCCATCTCAGTGTGCCCCCAAAGGAAAGTAGTTACTGCCCCTTTTACACTTACCATGAGACTCTGCAACATAATATTTGTTCCTCTTTCCCTGTTGCTGGAATACATAGGCTCTCCAAGCCCTGAATATCAAACTGTGGAGTAAGTGCCTGAAAAATGAAAGAAGTTATTTGGTAAAATAGCTACCAATGCCTAGAAGTAGGATTCTTTCAAGTTCAGCTGTACTCTAAAGATATGCTGGATATGAGATTTTGAGTTCAACCTAAGAAAATAAATTTAAAAAAAAAAAAAAAAAAAGGACGAAAGATATATTAAAAATAAGCAATGAAGGCACTGCACTTGACCTAGAAGCACTACTGGTATTACTTAGCCACTAGTAACTTCTTCAGCACCTAATGAAAGTTTCTCATATTACCATATTTGTACAGTGATAGAAAGTAACTTGACAAACCTGTAATGGCTGTCTGCTCTGAGGTTGAGCTGTCTTTGTCTGCAGACAGTCCACCATTCCCTCCACACTCTGAAAGTTTTTTGAAGGATCTGCTGCTCATACAGGCATCTGGACAGATTAAAGATTTACAAGAGAAATGTCAGGTTTGTTTTCAAGGTTGAACACAAATAACATTAATGCAGATTTTCCAATCTTATCTGAGTAGCCCACCAGCATCTATTGCATTTTAAAAATGCTACACTACTGTGATACTTAAATGACAAGAAGCAATTGGTTCATTGACTCTTATAGTCAAGAAAGGAAAGGCAGACATTGACTGATTTGCCAAATATCTGAGTGCCAGTTGACATGAAACATATGAACAACTGACATCCATTTTGCTCAGTTCTGTTTTAATTATCACACAACTGGTCCCAGTGATAAATAGTGATGCACATATGCTCCCTGCTCAATTCTGTTCTTAGTTTTAGATATTGAAATAAATATAAAAGCTACTTGATTTTATAATGCTTTGATATTTCCATTGTATTCTTAGAAGCAGCGTGCTGATCTTAAGCCATCCTAAATTTAAAATCTTCCCAGAGACCATTTAAACAGGCTCAAGAACTACTTCAACTAGTTCAACAACTTCAGTTTTGACACAGGTAATGTACATCACTTCTCCTTCCACACGGGTGCTAAGGCACAGAACAGATTTACAAGTTGCATTTGACCTTCAAATTATCTAATTCCAGTAGAACATCCTCTATTTTTATACCCTAATTTAATCATCACACCTGGCCAGGTAAGAAGTGATGCTACATTTCTAGTGAATTGTGGACAACTGAAAATTCAGATACAGGAATAGAGCTGAAACATTCTTCCACGTGGTCAAGATCACCTGATCTTGGTCTATGAAGCTGGAAGTCTCAGCAACTCAAATATAAATACTTCCCAAAATTTTCCCGGCTATTTTTATTTTGGATGAAGAGAAGGAAAATGGAAGGACCCATGCAAACACAGGGAAGCAAATAAAAAGCACACAACAGGCCCAGATCAGCTTTAAGAAATGGGCCACATCAACAGGATTAGGTTCAGAATCCATCCATGCTCCTCACTGACACACGCACAAATCCTCCCACAGTTCACAGCTACCTACCCCATGCCAAGCTGCTAAGTCATTCCAAGCACTCAAGCAGGGAAAAAAGAAAAAAAGAAATGAGCTATACATTATTTGTTTGATTAGGTGCACTAACAGAACATTGCAAATAAAAACTATGGTGAATCAGAAAGTCCTAAATCTAAAAAGGCAGTTAATCGTTGTTTACGTCCCTTGCTGAACACCAGAAAATGTATTCCCACTCATCTTCCTTAAGAAAGAAAGAAAGAAATCACTGCCCTGAGTTTACACACAGCCAAAGCGAGCAATGCAAGTTCAGTGTATGGGATAGAAGAGCAGAAAGGTTCACAGAACAGCTTCAGTTCAGCAACTAAGGCAGGCACGGGCAGAAGGCATTCAGTGCTGTACAATGAAAGTGGATAACGAGCTGATGGGTCTTGCTCTGACTGTATTGCAGCTCTTCCCACTGGGAACTGCACCAGTTCCCAAGGGTGTGGTGAAGCAAGAATGAACATGCAAATTAAAATTAAACAAGAAAAGAGTATCAAAGTGTTGATTTTTAGTAGCTGATAAAGCACCTACAAAAGAAACGAATCATTTGCCCAATGATTTCAAAGTCAGATGCACATATGTAGACATGCTAAAAACAATACTTCAAGCACTAAAATGAACTGAAGATCTGTTTGTGTTCAAGATTATGTATAAATTTGAAAGATCGTTAAATTTAAAGCAGGTATTACAATCATACCCCATCATTTGTATGCATGCACAGTTGAATTTCATCAAGACAACTACAGTTCCTCTGAATTGGTAAGGTTTAATTACAATAATCACAATTATTGAAAAAAAAAATAAAATTAAAAAAAGCAGAAGCAAGGAGAACATCCAAAGAAAATCTTCAAATTACCTTAATAGACATCCAAGTATTTTCTTGTCAGCCAGTAGACCCTTAGCCCAAAGTTACAGTACTAAACCATATTTAAGAAAACAACAACAAACACCCCCCAAACAAACCACCAAAAGCACCACAAAAAGACAAAAATCCATAGCACCTCAGTTTCTGGAACTACACTTGCCTGGCTTTGGAAGGGAGAACTTGTCCAAATGTCCTTTTTGCCCAGAGATAGAAGAACTTCCTTTCTAGGTAACTGAAACATAAGGGAAATTTAGAATCTTTGTACTCTTCCTCTGTTAACACCCAGGCAGCAGTAAGAACAGGAACTAAGTCTAATTATAATTTCAGTAATAACACTAAGGGTCTGATTTTAAAGAGATCAGGGGCATATACAAAATATTTACACCCTGACTTTAGTACCTTTAAACAGGACTACTCATCCAGCATAAATGGTCAGAGCACCACTGCAAAGCTGAGGTGTTTTCAAGCAACCCACTTGCCTCCAGGGATACAAAATATCAGGCTGCTGATTAACTGAGGTGCGTTTTTGTGATTTAAAGAAGTAACATTACTGTTTCTCTGCAGTGAATCAGCTGTATCAGACTTTCCAGAATAGTTAGGCCACTCTAACATTTACCCCTGAAAGAGAGAGACCTTTCTTCCCACCTCCCCCACGGTTCTGCCTGTACAGGTACCAGCTCAACATGGCAATCTGTGACTGCGATACCATCAGCCTTGTTTTCAAATGGTGTTAAGAAATAACTGGTTCAGAAATGGCCCAATAAGCAACAAAGCTGACACACAGCAATTACAGCACACTGCCACGCAGAGGGCCTCCCTCCTTCAGCAAGCCTGAGCAGCTACATCTGCTCCACTAGTCGAACAAAATATCACGCTTTTGATCTATAAATAATTACCACCCCATTTTAGTCAAAATTACTTCAACAAACAAAAGAAGTAAAGAGAGAGAAGAGCAAGATTTAATTATCATACCTTGGCCTCTAGCAACACATGCTGTTCAACAGCCATTGTTAAACTTGACATTAGAAAAGCAGAAACGTAGAAAATCTGAGCAAATCCTCAGGTTACCACAAGAAACACCAAAGAGTAAGACCTCTGCCTTAGCCTCATCTATACTATCAAAACCACACTCCTCTATGTGTGAGCCCCCTGCTCTGCTCAGTAAAAGATATATAACGTCTTTATCACCTGATTTGGAATTCTTGTAACCTTCTTCCCTGACTTTGGGCATACCCAACTTGATCCAGACTGTCATCACATCTGTCCTGAAACTGCCTGACAGATGGGTGAGCAACAGATTGTCCAGCTGCATGCACCTCAGGCCAAGGCAGTAGTTGAATAACACGGACCTTGACAGGCTTTAATCTTTAAAAAAAAAGAAAAAAAGAAGTATTTTGCACAAAGCTGCATTAATGGAATTATTTCAGTAAATTAATATATTACAAAGGTATGCAGTTGCATGTAGGAGCTGACAGCTACGTGATACTAAAATGTTTTCCTAACAAATTCAACCTCTAAAAAAGCAGAATTAAGCATAACTGTCCATCTAGTTTATTTTCACATGGTTTGGAAAACAGGAATAATAAAAAAAATTCAACCAGATGAAACTTGCTGGACCAGTTGTGTTGAAGCTTCTTTCCCCAAACAAATACTGCAGTCACCACAAAAATTTGCACATTAGGACAACAAACATTCCTGAACTCCATAACAGGCAACAGAATAGAATGGGCTCAAGTCTCACCCTAGCAATCAGCTGAACTGAGCTAGGAAAAACACGGCTGCAGCCTGAAAAACGTGCTTTCAAAAAGTTATTGGAACAATTCACACCAATGAGTTGCAGGAGATCAGCTGAGAAAGTATGCACAGCACGAACAGTAAACCACTGGAAATGGACAAACAAACAAACAACATCCAGTAGTTTAATAGTTAAAATCTCATAGGAGGAAACATGGTATTTTTGGACTGTTCCAGTGTGCTGCAAGGAGCTAAAATGAAGCTAATGAAAGAACAACAAAATGTACATTTTGCAAAATAAATTTCTCTTCTATAAAATATTATTTGAAGATCTTCATAGGAGGTGGGGCCCATCCAACTGACAAAAGAATTCTGTGCATGTAAAGATGTTAAGGCAGCTGTATCCACTTTGAAGTGTTTCAGTTCAAGCACTTATAAAATTATCTAGAAGAGCTGTCAGCACAAGTTTTTGTACATGTCTACAAGGCCCAACTTCCTCTAAAACCTTCTGAACTGCTCCAAGGCAAACTTAGTTGGACTTTTAGCAATGCAACATTACAAATAGTTTAAAATAATAATAATAATAATAATAATCAAGCTTGGGTAAAACATGCAGAACTTTTGTGTTCAAGTGTAAGACATGTCACACAAAATTTCTGTATGTTTTACCCAAGCAGCAGACACACTGCTCAAGGAACACTGCTTTTACCAATTAGTGTTATATTAATAAACCCACATAAAGTCATCTGGTTACCTGTGAGCTTTTTATTATTTCTATTTGAAGAGGAACACTTTCTGCTTAATAACATTCCACAGAGATCAATAAACTTTCATATGAAAACAGACATCTGTTGTCTTGCTGAATTTATAAGATGTCATCATAAAATTAATAGCCAAGGTCTTTAACAACAAAGCATGCTATATTATTGCTTACCTCCTTTCGGATTTCTCCATTTTGCTACAGTCCCAAGATTTGCTGCAGGAAATAAATACACTCGCTGTTGTGTATTAGCTTTGGATAAAGAAATTTGTTCTGGTTATTTGTGAAGAATCCATCAGGTGGGTTTATGTTACATCAAAGAAACGTGGATCCAGAATCATTTGAGTTGGAAGGGACCTTTAAAGTTCATCCAGTCAACCCCCCACAGTGCACAGGGACACCCAGAGCTAACCAGGTGCTCACAGCCCCATCCTCTGACCCTGTTTGTATGGATGGGGAGCCACCACCTCTCTGGGCAACCTGGGCAGTTCCTGGGCCCTTATTAAATAAACTTTATCCTTATATCCAGTCTAAATCTTCCAGCATGAAACCAATTCCCCTTGTCCTATCGCAATGGACTCTGCTAAAGAGTCTCCCCTTCTTTCTTATAGACCCCCTTTAGATACTGAAGGCTGCTCTCAGCTCTCCCCCCAGCCTTCTCCTCCCCTGCTGCACAGTCTCAGCTCAGCCTGTCCTCACACGGAGCTGTTCCATCCCATGCACTCCGTATCTGCAGAACGACAGGAACTCCACTCACCCCACCTGAATACGCAAAGAGCATCACGCATTTCTAGATGTTGAACATGGAAAGCATCCACTCGCAGCCTTGCTGACAGATCTGTAGGCAATAAACAGCCATAAGTGTGTGAACCCTACGACAGAAGCTGCGCCTGGGTAAAGCTGTGCTAGAAAGATGGCGTAAAGTGGAACAGATGACCATAGGGCCAACCAAGGGATAGAAAATCAGTACCTAACCCATCTGACTCCATTTTTTAAAAACCTCCAGCATCCACAAACACAAGAAAACGAATCAAACAGTGAACTCTACCCAGCAAAACTTCCGGGCGTCACAGAAAGTAAGGCTCTGTACAAACCCCGGAGCTCAGATTTCAACACGATAGATTGAAGTTGTGCCAGAACACCTTGCTGCAGCCAGGTGAACGGGTCAGAAGGGCCCCACAGCCCACGCCGTGCCTTGGCCGGGCTGCCTCCCACACACCGGCCTCTCAGGGCCCGTCAGCCTCGAGCTGTTCAGAGGCGGGGCCGCACGAAATTCCCCCCGGCAGAGAAGACGCAGAACCCGAACGCTTTTTGCGCTTCCGGACAAACAGCCGAGAACCGCAGACAGCCGATACGCGGCTCCGGAGCTACCGGCCCTCACTCAGGGCCGAGGCCGCCACGCCGCCTCCAGCCCCTCCCCTCGGCCTCTTCCCTCACCGGAGCGCCGCAGCCCCGCGCGTCCCCTCGCAGCGCGGGCGGAGCCCCGGCACAACCCAGCCCCGCCTCGCCGCCGCGCCCCGCCCAGCACCACTGAGGGAGGCCGGAGCGCCGCCCGCGCAGCGCAGCGCAGCGCCCCCTGGCGGCACGGAGGAGCGCGGGCCGCCGCAAGCAGAGCGCCGCCACGAGGGGAGGGCCGGAGCGCTGCCGTGCCGCAGCCGGGGTAGAGCGGAGCGACGCTCCGTCATTTATTTCAGGGAATTTCTGCCGTGGGTATCCGTTAACTCGCGTTACACCGCTAGGCGCTGACGGGACGGCGCGTCCGCCGCCGACGGGACCGTCTGCGGCGACGCGGGCCGGGCCGTCCCCCCGCCTGCGATCGGTCCCGCAGCGCCACGCCCGGCCCGAGCGCCGCCGAAGCCGCGTTCCACCTCCGCGGCGCCGCTCCCGCCCCGCTCCGCTCCGCCGCCGCCGCCCCGCCCGCACGTGGCGCGCGCCGCGTCCCTCGGGGCTGCCCGCACAGCCGCCTGCGGGCCCGGGGCTTCGCCCGCCCTCGCTCACCCGGCGCGGCGCTCGGCGCGGAACGACGACGGCGGGACGGGACGAGGGGGGCGGCGGCGGGCGGCTCGCGGCGCGGCGGGCGGCTCGGCCCCGCGCCGTGCCCGGCTTTTCCAGTCAGGCGCCGCGCGGGGGAGCCCGGCCTCCAGCGCCCTCCGCCGCGCCTGCGCGCGGGCCATTAAATGGGTGCGGGGCGGGCGGCGGAAGGCCCCGGTTACAGCGGCTGAGGAGAGACAGAGTCGGGCGAATAGGGAGCGGGCGCGCGAGGCAGCCGCGGAGGGGCCGGAGGCGGGCAGGGCGCGGAGCCGGCCCGGTGCGCGTGAAGCGCCCGAGGGGTGAGAGCGGGAGGGCGGGGGGGAGCGGAGCCGGGAGCGGGAAGCGCCGCGGGCGGCCGCGAGGCCTCGAGCGGAACGCGGCGCCGTGAGGAGATCCGCGCCTCCCGCCGCGCCGGGCCGCGGGGCGCTCCGTGCCGAGGGCGCGCCGGAGCCGGGCGCTGCGCTGCGCTGCGGGGGCCGGGCGGGGAGCCGCTCCGCTCGAGCGGGGGGAGCGGAGAGCGGGCAGCCCGCGTGCTGCTGCGCCGCGCGGTTATCTGCTCCGCTGGCCGCCGGCTTCGCTCCGGCCCGGCGATGCGCGTCACCGAGTGAAGTGTCTCGTTTGTTCTTCGCCAGGTCCATGGTTAAAGGCTTTGACGTAGCCATGGATAAAAGAGGAGGCATAACGGAAGCTGAGAATGGTGATGCTTTTCTGGAATTGAACAGAACTGCGACGAAATACCCCCATCGCTATACGAAAGTAAGTGCTCTCTGCCTCTGCGAGTTGCGCGGAGCTGTTGGCCGCCGAGGTAACGAGGGAGGGAGAGCCGGTGGGAGCGGAGCACGGGTTGTGAGCGGCCGCTGTGTGGGTCGGGACTTGCTGCAGGGCACAGGGCACGCTGGGTGTGATGGAGCTGCACGGCCCTGGTCTCAACAGACATTTCGTTGCCACTGCTTTATTGTAATACCTCAGCGCTTTGGTGCATGTGCTGGGGAGGCTGAAGCATGCTGCTCTTCTAGCTGTTCTCAGCATTTGTGCTTCGTCGTTCTCTTATCCGCAGCGTTACTCTAAATTGGCCCGTTTCTTTACAACACACAGCCTACAGATGTAATTGCAGCTTCAGTCTGTGTCTGTTAAGATGCCTTTTGTGATCTTACTTGCAGTTGCTCATAGTGAGGTTTTAGAAGCATGTTCACATGTGATTCTAACCAGTGCTGAGTGTGAAAGCTTCAGCACAGGTGCTCACATTTGGTTGTGATAACCCTTGTTCTTATACTCAGTCTTTTTAATTAACTAACTTGCAAACAAAGATCCTTTCAGTATGGAGCTAATATACTGTGTGGTTTAATGTTCAAATTTTGTTTGAGCTTTTGGTATCACTGCTGAAACATGCTTTTAGAAAACTTTTAATGGCAGTTGTTTTTTTTTCCTGTTGCTGAAAGCTGTGGGAACAGGTGGTCACTGCTTTGTGTGGAAATCTATTAACTTGTTTTACAACAAATGGCTCAAAGTGAGGAACAGTGTGAGACAGCATGCTGCTGCTGATTGTGTTATCTTACTTGAGAAATGCAGAGCTGTTTCATTCTTAGAGATGGTGTATTTTTTTTAAAGGAGAAAAGTTATCAGTGAGACTCTGCCCTGCTGAGATAGCAGGGCTGCCTTATTTTGACTAGACACTACAAAGAAGCCAAGCAGCTTGGTGTCACAGTGGCAAAACTGATGTGGGAATAGTATGGCTCTCTTTTTCCCTCCCTTTTCTCAGACGAGATGTACATCTTAACCGAAGATGCAGAGGGTAGTATTGTTTGGAACTTGATACTGAATTATTCCTGAAGTGGAGGAGAGGAGTTATCTTTAAGCTGTTCGTTAGAAAATCTGTGCCTGTCCTTGTTTGGTATTGCTCAGCTCCTCCTAGAAAGAGAAACTGAATGCAACTGCAAATTGACTGCTTTTTTGGTCTGTGCTCAGGTAGTGCTGTGTTTAGTATGTGAATAAACCAATGCAGCTGTATGTCCAGTATTATTATTGCCTGTAGCTCTGATCTGAATAAAGTGCCAGAAGGCACCAGTTATCTGTTGGTTTCTGATTTCTCACCCTTTTTGACTTTTTTAAAACATCTTGCACAATACTGCTATTTTTCTTTTGGGTAACTGTTTTGTTTGATATCACTGACACCATGAGTGGTTTTCACTTGATCAGTTTAATACTATTTATGGGTGGGGGGGACACTGCTTCAGGGCATGTACTGCTGATTTAAAGTAGGGAGAGAGCTCCTAATAATTTAGATTATCTTACAGTGGGACAAGAGCTGGTTCATGTGATGAGTCCTTGTGAACTGCTTGAACATGAGTGTTCACTAACAGCTAAAAATACTTTTTTCCTCTCTTCTTATGAGCTCTGTTGTGTGAATTAAGAAAAAAATGAACAAAGGAACAAAATAAGCTGCACTGTGGAAGTACTGGCATCAATCTACTCTTAAGACAAAATGTTGTGTATTCCAGGCTGTCTTCTAGTGCTTTAGAAGCTGTTGCTCCAGGGTGTGCAGCTCATAAATGAAATGCTCCTCACTTCAGAAGAAAAGTTGCAATGAAATCTGTTTGAGGTCTACGAACTCCCTCTCGTGGCCAACAAAATAGTAAATCTCCAAGTCTGGTATTGGGCAGTGTTGTTAATAGTCCTCATACCTACATCAGACTATGATAGTATTACAGCATTGATGTTCCTCAGAGATCAAAGTTTATTTTGGCAGACTGTGGGCAGAGAGTCCAGCCTCCTTCTGTTTAAATATTTGCTGTCCAGGTTGTCAGATGGTGCTGGGGAAAAATTCATTTTGCTGAGGACTAGGACAGGGTTATGCTCAGGAAGTACATTTGTATGGTGCTTGGATAGAACTTAACACTTAAGATCCTAAGCATAGCTTGTTAATGTAGCCACTGACCTGATTTTAGATCCATGGGGATGATAATGTGAAAGCTGTTGTGTAAATGCATTACTCTTGGATGACAGAGCCTTCTTCAGTATGGCTAATGTCAGAAGGAAGGCAGGTTGAAGAAGGGCAATCTGCAGAAGATACACGAACAGAGTTACAAATGTGCATCTTTACTATGTATAACTATGTGATTCAAAGCACTGATCACACTATAAGTGCTTTTTGAATGTGGCAGGCTGCAATGAGAAGGTAGATTGCTAGTCTCCCTGAAATGGCTGGCTAGGCAGGGTGTCACAGCTATCAACTCAAGAGTGTATTTGGAAGCTGGTAGGAAGTGTAAAACTGAAATATCATTCAGCATCAATTTGTCTTGGGTAGAATAACTATAGGTGATATTTTGTAATGGCTGATGGTCAGAAATGGCAAGCTTGTCTGGAATTTCCAGATCTGCTTTAGTAATTGGTATTATGTAATGCTTTTATTTTTACAAACTGAATCTTACATAGCATTGAACACAGTGATTTTCATTCCATCTTGAAAACTTGCTAGCTCCAATGTCAGTGTGTCTGTTGTGCTTGTAAGCTAAATTGTACAGGGAAATGGGTGAGCAAACATGGCTGATGTAGTCAGCCTTAAGTGTTAATGAAGTTCAAACCTGACCTAGTAAGACTTAGTACTTCATGTCAGTGTGGGTTTGAGGTTAATGTTCATGAATAAAACTTGCTCTTTTATTCTTGTCATCTACAGTGGAGTAGATATCAGAAGAAATATGAATTTACTTGTTAAGCAATGCTACTACTTTGTCATACACAGAAGTCATACTGATTTGTCATATAAGTCTGTATGATTTGTTCCAGATTATTTTCAGAAACCAGCTTTCAGGATCATTCAAACTGTTAGTTTGTTTGGAAACCTTTGATTTTTGGAAGTCCTGTACTGACTCATATAAATGCTAAGTCTAAATTCTAAGTTAGCTCAGTGAAATACTCTTGGCACCTGAATCACACTCTAAAATATGTTCTGTGTTGATCATGATGCTTTAACTTACTCTGCAGTGTATCAGTCTTACAGGTGAGACTCATTCTTGATTGTCAAACAGCATTACATTGTCTCCAGCATAGTAGGCAGAGGTAATGAAGGGTGAGATGTATAGTTCTGATTAATGGAGAATTTGCTCAAAGGCTATTGGTAAAAGAACTGAAAAATAAATTGATTTCAACTTTTCACTGTCTTATTTAACAGGAAATGAACTAATACACTGGGAAACATAGCTTGTCAGATGAAATGACTAAACTGAACAGGTGGTCTGGAACGGATATTTGAGTCACTTAAATCTTGTCTGGGTGAGAATTAAAACTAAAAACTTGTTTTTTTTTTTCTAGGAGGAACTGCTGGATATTAAAGAGTGTCCCTACTCTAAGCAAAGACCTTCTTGTCTCTCTGAAAAATATGACAGGTATTTTCTTGATTATAC